GAGCGGCAACTATTTATTAGGTTTATTATATGCAGGAGATTTTGAAGGCTTTTCACTGTGGCCCTAATTGGACCCTAATAGATCTTGCTTTCCAGGCTGTTTCCTTAGGCTCGCTTTGGGTGGGGAAGGGCTGTTCAAAGGATCAGTGCTGCCCAAGCAGCTAAACGCAACCTCTTGCACTTGCTCACGGCTTAACCCTGATAATTGATGTTGCAGCTGCTTTTCCCAACACATTGTGATTGCCACAGGGCACATGCTCCCTTCACAGCAGGTGCTACCCTCTGTCAATAGCTGGCTCTCCCATCTCCACTTCCTTCCCAAGTAGCAGCTTGGCTTTCCAAGAAGTGCAAGAGGGCAACTTCTGCAGCTGCTTATGCCAAACTTGAGTGAGAAAGAGAGATGGCCTTTGGGTGAGATGCCAAAATTTTAATCTGGTCTTCCCGTCAGAAATGAGCCACCTGATGTAAACCATTGTGAAAGCTGCCTAGTTCCTGTCATGAGCAAGAGTTGGTTACATCAAGGACAAAGAGGATTTGCTGAATATTTCTTTCTCCCTTGTAATGGCTTTGTGCCATTTTTAGAATCTGATTTGCAGTATTACCACACAAAGTAGTTGGAAGTTTAAACCAAATGTAAAACAAAAAGGTGAAGAGTACATTGGGGGAGGAGATTTTACTGTACTTTCAACAGTTTCATTAGCAAGTGACACATCTAGGAATCTTGTGTATTCAGTACATGATAGGCTCATGTGGTTGCTCTTCAAGTTAACAGGAGTAAGTTCATTAAAGTATTTAGCTTAACACACAGACTTGTTCTCATTGCAATGAAACTGTCCCAGAGAAAAGCTGTATAGGCGCAGTGATGTGCATTGAAGATGGACATACATTTGGTTGGTGTTGCTTAACACACAGGTTGATGTGGCTAAAAAGGCCACTGTCTGAAAGATAGTTCATGTGCGCAGCAGTAGGTGTATGACCTGCTATTACTGAATTCAAGAGGCTATGCACTGATAAATGTCAAGGCTGTGTCTTTATAGGGCAAGCAGATCCCATGTTCCCTAACTGGGGAAATAAATAAATCCCTAAAATAAAATCACGATGATTGTTCTCTCTAAAGATGAGGATGAGGTTTTAGTACCATTTAAAAGGTCTGCTTTCAGCAACAGTAAATTGCTGTTGTCAAGTCCTGAGATTTATTTGAATTAAGCAATACTCAGTTTCAGCTTGAAGTTCCTCTTTGGGTAACTAAACTAATACTTCACTTCTCAAAACAAGTTTTTAGTACCTTTTAAGGGAGAAACTTGCAAATAAAGTATCATAGGAGTTGCAAATACAGAAATTATCTGTTGAGTTTTTGAACTGCAAAAACAAAGTACCCATGATTATACGATTAGTCAGTCTTGCATGCAAAGAGTGGGAGAGGCTGATTCTGTGTCTGTTCACTCTTTTTCCTGCCGTTTTCCATATGCCTTCTGGGACACAAGGGAAAAAAAAGCAATCACGTGAAATGTGGGTGGGGAGGAGGATGTTACCTACTTGAATATTTTCTTCTACTCTTCTATCTAGACCAAATGGCCTTGCTTTCATTAAAGCTTAATCATGCCCCTCACTGCACAGGTGAGGGCCAAAATGATTGGAAAGTGATGTAGGCAAAAGGACACTTTCCTTGGAGAAAGCTGACTCTGACTGCTATTAAAGGGCTTGCTATGACTGGCACCATCAGTAGAAGCTATGTTTATTAGCCATAATCCAAAAAGTTATTCATCCGTTGTAAGCATATTGCTAGGTTGATTAATAATGTTCTCAGAACAGGCTGTTGGCATATATGAGACACTTTATCAAGGTAGTAATCAAATAATGTAATCCAAAAAGAGAGTGCCAGAGATGAGCACTGGTGGGAGTTTTGGGAGCTTAAGATAGAAGAATGAACACAACACTCGAATCTCACTGGGTTTATAGAGTTAAAAGTTAGAAAGATGACTTGCTTGGCTTGCTCAAATCCAGCCACAGGGACTGGTACAAATGACAGCTAATGTGACTTTTTTGCTTCCTTTGTACTACTGATATGTTTCACTCTTGAGATTCTTTTTATTTTAAATATATATTTTTGTAGCCATACAGAGTTGTCACTTGAGATAGACTTAAGCACCATGTGAATTCTAGACTGCCTTGGGTCCTCTGAGAGCAAGACCATAGGTTGTGAATTGAGCATTCTTTCTCAGATTGCTTTGAAATGCAGATACTCACAAAAGACTTTGTGCAGAATGGTGAACAGTAGTAAACTAGCTCTTCTGTCGTGGGAGGACACATGTCTCTCTTGTGTTCTTTCGGTTTGTTTTTCTGGTGAGATTGATTTTGTTGTTGGGGGTTTCTTTGGTTTGTTTTTTTTTTTTTTTTTAAACTAACAGATCACTCAGGGCTTTTAGTAAAAATTAATAAAAAAAAAGTTAAATGGTAAAATCCATCAACTGTCCAATCAATTCAACATCCCTAATGGACAAGGTAAAGACTCTAAATAGGGATGAGGCAGTAGAGTAGGTAAAATGTGTTCATTCAAGTTTCTGGTAGGTCTGAATAATCATAGTTTAAGCAAACCATGGATTTGTGATGTTCTTGAAGTTCAGGGAATGTACAGCTTTGGATTCTGATCAGACTAGGGGGATGTTTTTTGAGCGCACGTCCGTAAGGGAATCTTTCTGGTGCCAGAGGAGTTAATGCTTAGGCACATTGTCTGGATGGCACCAACCTCAGAAGAGACTGAAAAGGCAAAATGTGTTCAGGCTATTTCCAGCTTCTGAGGAGCACTTTGAAGTCAACAAGATGAGGTAGAATAGGCTAGGTGTGCGACCCTTAAGAAGGAAGAAACAAATAAACAGATTTTAAAAAGCAGTCAGCTGGTGAGGTGTTAGTACAGCAAGAAGTACGTTCATGTCAATGAATCCTGAATGAAAGGAATAGACAGTGGTGTTACTGCAAAGAAGCAAATCTTATTTCACTCTTCATACTTATAGGAGGGTGCTGAACTTAAGATTGGTAAAGAAATTGCTCTGATTCAGTTGGTACTGCTAGAGAACGAGGTCCAGTTCTTAATTTTATAATGGGGAACATCCAGATGAAAATGACATGGCTGTAAGGAGAAGTTGAAGACATGGGCATTTACTATGAGAAAGTGAAGGTAAATGAAAAGTAACAGAGGAAAGAAGATGGTGTTGGTGTTAGACTATATAGTAAGATTCTAGGTCCACCATGAAAAATGTAGGGGGAAGAGAGGATAAATCTGAAGAAAGTTAGAGTAAAAATATTTCATTTCTTCCAGTGCTGATAGCAATAGTTAAATAGTTACCTGAGAATATTTTGAGGATCCTTGCAGTGGAAGAACAGGTTAAATGCTTTCCTTAATTGTAGTCTGGATGTTGCCAAGTTTTTTTTTGTTTTTTTTTCAAGGGAAGCGATGAAGTGATGCCTTTAGTTGTTCTGCAGCCCTCATCTTTGAAGTTAGGATTCCCAAACTGAGAGTTTTACTCTTGCCACAAGAGTCAGAATAGAAGAGATGTTAGAAAACATTTAAATCATTAAATCAGGTGTTATTTCATACGTTAATACTACAACTGGTCTTGATGACCATTTGTGTGTGAAGTGGCAGATGATTTGGAAATTCCATTGCTAACATATTTTCATCAGACGAATAGTTCAAACTCACTACAGTCTATATAGAGGTGCCAGTTATGATGTTTATGGACCATGTCACTGGGGTGGTTGTTTTTAACACTGAATGTTTAATAGTCTCTGTGTCAGAAAACTACTGTTTGAAATCTTAAAGCTAAACAAACATTTTCTAAATGGGTCTGGGAAAATCAGGAAATAAAATAGAACCTTCAGGGCGTCTGCCAGCTTTATTTTGTATTGAGTGTGATAGAAGTGCAGTTAAGCTGGCAGGCTGTCACCTGTATTTTCCCCTGTGTACTTGCCTTTCAGGCACAGACCAAAGAATGACACAGTGTACTACAGCTTGTGTTTAGGCTACAAATCTATGTTGCCTTGCTGAGCAATATTTTTTTTATATGTACACTCCCTTTAGGGAATAATTCTGGAACGAAGAGCTTTCCAGATATTGTAAGGTGTCTTTTCAGCTTCTGGCTAAAGGGCATTGTGAGAGAAAATAATCGTACTAAGTACATTCGTGTACTTACTGTAGGTACTGTAATGCAGTAACTTGAGTTGTTCCTTTTTTAGTTTTGTTACAATACTTGTGTAACACAATGAAAGGCATGCAGCATCATTTCAGCTTTTCACTTTCTAGACAGTTGATAAACATTTAGAAGCTGCAGAAGTTTCGTGCAAATTCACATGACGTAAATGAGATGGCTGAATAAATCTTTAACGGTTATTACCTGCTAGCTGTTGCTTCTTTAACTAAAACCAGGATGTAAATCCATGCAATGAATAAGACGTCAGTCCCTAGGGAATGAGGACCAGCTTACTTGGAACAGTGCTTCTCAAGCAGCACACAAAACTTGCATTTGTCACATAATAATGACAGTAGACCTGCTGATCCTTTTAGAAAATTAAAGAAAATTTGCTAACCTTCAAGGATCAGTTAAAGACAGTCCAATTGTAGTGAGTTGCTGTTTGAGATTCTTTTCCTCCTTAACTAAATCTGTCTCTTCTGGGTGATTGCATTCTAAAATACTGAAACTTAAACCTTTAGTACATGTGTATCAGGTAGTGAGGGATATGAAGAGGGGGGGAAGGTTGAGATTATTGTAAGATTTTTTTTTTTGCTTTTTTGAGGAAAGGAATGTGTTATACATAGCTTGGAAAATGTTCAGCTGTCAGTATATTAATTCATATTCATACCGCTACAGGCAGTATTCTTCCACACTTGTGAAGCTAGATTGCCATGGGGAAATGAATGCATTTTAACCACAGCTCAATTTTGATTTGTTTAACTTCACATTTATGGTATCCTGTCCTTCATATCTAACTGACATTCCAGAATTTTCAAAATTCCTTTATTACTATACACACACAGTTCAAATGACAGTCTAATATAGCCTTTATTCTTTCTCTTTTGACACGTTTTTTTCACACACACTGTAAATACAAGTTGTTATCTCAATGTCAGATTTACTTCTGCATGCTACATTCTGGTTTCCAAAGTGTGCCTGTTGCTACAATTACAGAAAATGGCCATAGAGATTGTGGTGGGTTCACCCTGGCAGGGTGCCAGGTGCCCTCCAAAACCACTCTCTCACTCCCCTCCTTAGCTGGGCAGGGGAGAGAAAATATAACAAAAGGCTCCTGGGTCGACATAAGGACAAGGAGAGATCACTCAACAGTTACCATCACAGGCAAAACAGACTCGACTTGGGAAAACAAGTTTAATTTATTACCAATCAAATCATAGTAGAGTAATGAGAAATAAACCCAAATCTTAAAATACCTTCCCCCACCCTTCCCTTCTTTCCAGGCTCAACTTCACTCCCGATTTCTCTCCCTCCTCCCCCCCAGTGGCACAGGGGGACAGGGAATGGGGGTTGTGGTCAGTTCATCACACGTTGTCTCTGCTGCTCCTTCCTCCTCAGGGGGAGGACTCCTCACACCCTTCCCCTGCTCCAGCGTGGGTCCCTCCCACAGGAGACAGTCCTCCACCAACTTCTCCAACATGAATCCTTCCCGCAGGCTGCTGTTCTTCACAAACTGCTCCAGCATGGGTTCCTTCCATGGGGTGCAGTCCTTCAGGAACAGACTGCTCCAGCATGGGCTCCTCTCTCCATGGGGCCACAGGTCCTGCCAGGAGCCTGCTCCAGCATGGGTTTCCCACAGGGTCACAGCCTCCTTCAGGTGTCTCCACCTGCTCTGGCATGGGGTCCTCCATGGGCTCCAGGTGGATATCTGCTCTACCATTAAGCTCCATGGGCTGCAGGGGGACAGCGTGCCTCACCATGGTCTTCTCCAGGGGCTGCTGCAGGGGAATCTCTGCTCTGGCACCTGGAGCACCTCCTGCCCCTCCTTCTGCACTGACCTTGGTGTCTGCAGCATTGTTCGTCTCACATCTTCTCACCTCTCTCTCCTAGCTGCTGTTGTGCAGCTCTGAAAGAGCTACTCAGAAACCTTTTTGGTGGTGTAGTTGGTCTTGTTTCTGACTTTGCAGGGATGAGAAACTCTTGATTGCTTCCTTTGAAAAATATTATTTCTTCATACAGAATCAAAGCAGGAACAGATTTTTAGACACTTTAGGCCAAAATGCATATGTGAGCTAAAAGGAAAGAAAATTAGAGTGACTAAGAGCCATTATTGAGTAATGTCAGTATGCTAGAGAATCTTTCTGATCTTTGACCTTATTTGTCTCATTTTCAGTGCTAATTCTGAGGCGATATAGGGGCAGGAAAATACAATGTAAAACAAACTCCTTAGAGTTCTGTATTTTGTTACTTAAAAAGTAGAAATACTTTCAAAGCTGATGTAAAGATTTGTAGAATAGTGCACACATGCATACCATGGATAGATTAAGATATATTGTGTGTGTCCGAATGCCTTGTTGACTTGAACATCTGTAAACATTCTTACTGAGACTCTTGCAAAGTATGGTTAGCTTTTCCTCTTCATTGTAATAATGGGTCTTCATATAATGCAACTTTAAGCTGACTGTTAACATTAGCTTGAGACTGTCTGGTCATTTCAAGTTGTCCTTCTCCCTTGTCAGTAATACAGATAGGCTGTTACACTACACACCTAGATTCCAAAGCTAGGCATCCACAAACTTGGCAAATAAAACCAGTCTATTAAGCAGTACTGTAATAAAGAAGAATTTTATAGAAGTATACCTCTGTATTTTAAGTGGTCTGCTCACTCCTGCTAATTTTTCCCTCCTTCTTCTCCATAGAATGTGTATGTAAACATAAACCGCATCATGTCAGTAGCAAATCGCCTGGTTGAGTCTGGCCATTATGCTTCACAGCAAATAAAACAGATTGCTAGTCAGTTGGAGCAAGAATGGAAGGCATTTGCTGCAGCCTTGGATGAACGTAGCACGTTACTGGATATGTCCTCCATCTTCCATCAGAAAGCTGAACAGGTTAGTGAACGGGGAGGGTGCCAACAAAAGTTTCTGTGCTGGAATGGTGAGTTGTACTGTTTGCTTTTGATTTAGACAGAGGTACGAGAGAATAATTGAAAAGGTCTGCAAGAAAGCCAGAGCATTCATTTCTGCCGATTTCAGCCGATACGCAAACAAAAACTTGTTCTCCTCAGACGGCCCGCTGCCCTTATATTCTCCACAAAATGCCTCGCCCATATCAATGCAAGATAAAACTTGGCCAAATTAGATAAGTGAATCAAAATGAAGTAGACATGAATGCTTAACTATGTCAAGCTTTTAAGTTGAAAGAAAGGGAAAAATTTAGTATAGTCAGTATCAATAGAATGCCTTTCCTACATCCAGAAATCATCACTTGTTCTGATGTCCTCACCACTCCACCCTAATCTGTCCTTGAGTGTCAAGATTTAACTCATAGTAATTGCTTATAGAAAACTAAGTTGAACTGGCCTGAAAGTTGAGAAGTTAATTAATTGTCTTCTGAATCTAAAATTGTGGTGGAAGATGTTTACTTAGTATCCCATAAGAGATTCCTCCTGTATTAAACAAAAATTTTCGCTGTAGGCCTGTACCAATTATTTTAATTAAGTAAGTGTGTGTAACTGCCAGACAAGAGAGGTGCATGTAGGGGAAATAGGAATAAATATCCCCAAGTTAATGGTCTTGATGGTGAACACATGTTTTCCCCTCAAGGGAATTCAGTTCAAAAGGAGTTGCTATGTGTGTGCTGTTGAGTCACCCATTGATATTATAGACTCTTTGCTCTGTACATCTCTGGTGAATTTGGAGAGCAGAGGTTCTTGGATGGTTGTGGCTGATGGAAGCTCTGGTGTGCTGTATGGCTGCTGTAGCTACTTTCCTTTCCCTTGCCTTGCTAAATTGGATCCGAGAAAAGGTCTCATGTCTGATACAACTTTAATTTGGAATAAATGAAGGAACCACTTGGGAGGTGATAACTGCAGAAATAGAGAGAGGCAGCACACTTTATTTTAAGAAGTTTTCCGGATTTCTACTACACAGATATTCAACTTCATGAATGTCCAGAAATTAGAAATGTGAATGTATTAAAAAGCAAATACACACTGCTTTTCATTATGTTGGTGGTGACATTGGTTTAACTGTCTTTAGACAGACAAAGGTAAAGTATATAAACTGATGCTACTATCATAAGTATTTTTAGCAGGTTTTATGGAAAAGCCACATAAAAAGGAAAGAAAGGAATTGTTTTCTGGTATAAAAGCCACCAACCAGCGTGAACCATTTGATAGACACAGTGTGGTACCTTATCAGTATTGATGCTTTTCTAATTGATTGGGTTATTCAGGTTTACATTTAAGCACTGTCAGCCATACATGTAGGAGAGATATGGTGAAATATGAACAGATAGCTATACCCTGATTCAAGTGCTGTCCTTTTTCATAGGAAAATTATGTTCATCAGAAGTCAGGGGAGTAAATTCTGTGTGTGTGCTGGGCAACTGTGGTAAGGGTTGGTGTTACCTTCTTTAGCACTAAATGTAAGCGCAAATAGGAGGAAAGAGAAGAATGAGAGAAAATAGTGCAGCATCTGCTGGGCTCAATTTACTTGCTCTTTAATTGCTCCTTCTGTGGTTTTCATTTTATGATTAACTGTGATTGATTGTCATAGTTGCTGTGTAAGATACCTGGCTGTGATATATTAGCTGTTTCATTAACAGTGGAGAGTGAGTTCAAGGAAAGAGGGGTTTGGAACGAGAGGAGTGACCCCTTTAGAGACTGGTGATGCTTGACCTACATAAAAAGGTGATTAAAAAAATAAGCAGCCAAAGAAATAACACACCCTTCTTGAATGCATGTGTTCTCTTGTAAGTGACAGGTAAGTGTTGCTGCCTGCTGTCAGACACAGTGCAGACTGCACCCAACTATCAGTGCCTGCTGACTGATGCAAGAGGTGTAGCTTTATGGTCCCACATGGAGCTTCTTTTAATGTTCAGTGCTTAACGTTAGAGATTTTTAAAATTGTCCCCTGATGAAATGAGAATTAAGTAAGTATCTTAGAGTTAAGTACTCTGTCACCCTTCCTCCCAGCTTTCAAACAATAATGGAGTACCAGAAATGGCTGTGGATTACTTTTTCCTCAGAAGACTACATGTGCTCCAGTAATTAAGATGTATATGATGAGAGAAATGGCTTAGCCTCTTAAAATTTTGAGGCTTGAATTTGACATGAATAGAGGACAAATTTAGTTTACGGCTACCACATGTGCTTGGCTGTACTAAGTTTTAACAGCTATAAAAACTCCTAGAAAAACAGATTCTTTTTTCTTCTTTCCTTTCCTAGCATAATGAGGGTATAAAATTCATGCCCCCTAGCTGTCAAAAGTAAGTTGACAGAACTTCTGCTGTGCTTACAGGTATGATGGCAGTTTCTTGTCTGTCAAGACAGCTTGAGCTTCAGAGATAAATTGTGTGCAGATGAGATTCTGTTGCAGTATCCTCAGTTTCCCCTGAAAGGCTTGACTTGAGCAGCTATGCTGACATAGCTGTGTGTTCAAAGTTCAGTGTTAGTCCTAAGAGACCCCCGCTTAAGTTGTAAATCCCTTACATGCTTGCTGCTGTGGTAGCTTGCCAAATGGATTTAGTGCTTTCTGCATGTAGAAGTTAGTACTTTGGGGACTGAGGTGTGAATTTGCTGTGTTCTAACACTGCTTTGCCTCCTTGATGATCTCTTTCCAGCAAAAGACAACTAAGGAGTATTTCAGTGAGCAGTTCACCATTCATTGTGTTGTGTGTGTATGCACACACACGTGCAAAGTAACTTGGTTTTCTTTGAAGACTTAAAAAAGGGTTAGGTGATACCTCATGACACCATGAGTATCTGCACAGGGAGTTGAGGGGTAAGAGCTGAGGGTTTGGGCTTGAAAGTTGTGTAGCATGTTTTAGCTCTTTGTGTAGACAAGACCTTAACTGGCTTTCATGCATCTGAAGTGGTGAAGTAAACTTTTTCTTAGCTGCAAAGTCAAGAGGAGCAAGAGTAAACTTGAAGCATCACTATTGCCAACAGTTTAATTGGTTCTGAAGGCTGCCCACATACAACTAAGCCTGCCTGTGAACAGCTTAAACTGTTCCATATAACTAAAAGCACAAGCATAGTCAGACTTGAATATATGTTTCCATTCTGAGATAAGCCTCACTTTGGTCAGTTCAGAGAGAAATACATTAAACACTTTTCCCTTAAAAAAAAGTCTTTTCAGTGTCTGTCACACAGATGCCGATCCTTTTGTATATTACCAATGTGTGTGTACTTATTGATAGAATCCAAAATTAAGCAGATTTTTTTTTTCTCTGTTGCAGTACATGAGCAATGTGGACTCATGGTGTAAAGCCTGTGGTGAGGTGGAGCTTCCCTCAGAACTGCAAGATTTAGAAGATGCTATCCATCATCATCAAGGGATATATGAGCATATTACCTTGGCTTACTCTGAGGTAAGCGTCTTGTTTCCTTAGGTTGCTGACTTGATAAAATGGTGTAATGTTAAGGATGGGTCATTAACCGGCATTGCTTGTTGCATAGTGCATTAGTTGGAAACTCAAGTGCCAGGCTTCTTTTTTGATTTGGTACACTGGACTTTGTTGCTATTGTTCAAAAGTTAAGTTTTAAGTCTTCCTTTTAATCCTCTGAGAGAAATTTAAAAGGCAAGATGGGACCATGTGTGGTACTAACAACCCATACAGTGTACTAAGTATTTTTTAATTTACATTTGCATATTACTACCTTTTAATAGCAGTATGATAATATCACTTAAACACTTACTTGAAGGGAAGCTAGCTGTGGGTATTCTTTGGGAAAGTATTCTGTTGGCATGGATTTCAAGTGTGTTTTGAAAATCCATCTCTGAAACTGCCTCACAAAAAAGGCTTAACGGCCAAATGATGTCACTTTACAAGCCGGAAGTTATAGACTTAGTTCTGCCAACTTCAAAGACACTTAAATGAGCCAGCATGCCTCTGTAGTTTGTATTCCTAAGATTAGCATATATATCCTATACTGCTGCTTTAATCTTGGATTCTGCACACAATGAAGTAATAATATTGCTTAGTATTCCTAATAGATGTCTTTACAACTTAAGATAAAATGCTTATTCTGAAGTTGGCCTAGAAAGTGATGACTACAGTATCTATCTATTGTTTTTCTTCAAATACTGAGTTCTCTCCTGTGCTTTAGTTAGCTGAAGTGAGAAATCAAATGGGTTTAGACTTCAGTATTAGGTAATAGGTGTTTTCTGAATTTCCTGTTGAGCTTCTCTTGCTTTCTTTTTCCTGGGTTGTTCTCATCACATGCTAAAACTATTTTTGCTGTTAAATTGGGCTGATGTTATTCTGGATTAAATGCAGTAGTTTCTGTTTTCATTAAAGTTGCATAAAAGCATGCGATTAAAGCATGGTAAAAAATGATCAGTGGACACAGTATAGCTTGGGCCTCAGCTTGCACTTTCTTTTAAAAGGAGGTCATGTGGGATTGAAATAATGTTTGTGATGTATACATTATATTAAAGATAAAACCACTTCTGATGAACTAGTTCTATTTATGGGCAACTGAATCAGAAGTCTGGTCACATTTCGTTTAGAAGTAAAGGAGGGTAAGATTAGTGCTTATGAACAGTCCTATTGCTGGTATATCAAAACTGGATTTTTTTTTGAGTATCTGCCATCTTAGGGCCTGCATAAACTTTATTACCATGAGTCAGATGTCCAGAGTTCACATTGGTTGTTTTTCTTTTGTGTAAAATACACACAGATATCTCCATTCCAGATACATGCCACCTTGCTATGGCAACTAATCTAACGACAATACGGAAGCACACCTTTGGTGATAAAACTTGTGATCTTACCACACATACCTGTTCTAACATTCTCAAGAGCATGTTTTGTAGGAAGGTTTCTTTTCTTCATAATTACCTGTCTTCTTTGGGATGATCCTGTTGTAAAACAAGGGACAGAAATGTAGCACATTTATAGTAGATTTATATGAAGAGAGGCAATCTGAGGTGCATGCTCCATGAGTGTGCAGCAAGGAATAAGGTGGCTAGGGCTGTCTAAAATAATGATGATAAAGCATTGAAGGTAAAATGGTGGGGTTTTTTGGGTTGGTTTTGTTTGTTTTGGTTTGGGGAGGGGTGTTGTGTTTTTTCATCAGGGATGTGACTGGATTAGAGCCTGCTGTTAAGTGTAAATAAGTACTGTGGATTACCATGTTAAATACTGTTTGCTTCCTGGTGATGCATAATGAAAAGAAATTAGATGGGTAGATTATAGGATTGCTCTGGCAAATACCTTGAAAATTTATTTAGGATTTTGAAGCTGTAGCTTTTGACTTTGGAATAGCTAGTGATTTTAACAAAATCTTCCTTGGTACTGCTTTAAAAAAAAAAAAAGGTGCTTTTCTTCTGATTTCACATCAGAATCGATGCAGAAATAATAGTTGTATGTGTATATACAAGTCATGTTCCTCCTCTGGACAGAAAGTTTTATTTTGCCTTATTTAAACACGCATTACTTTTTGAAGATTGATAGGGTTGTCTTTCTGTAAAGATATTACAGAACTGTTGCTTATCATTATTAGATGTATGACTTCATTTCTGTTACAGCGTGGAGCTCCTTTCATTTTTGTGATGAATGAACAGTGGGGGGAGAGAAGAACACTGTGGAAATTACAACACTTTGTCATTCATTTTAGATTACAGTGTCTTGACAACACAACTTGGTTGCAAAGTAGAAGACAGTAATTTTAAGAGAGTAAATGCTTTTAAGACTAGACAGTCTGATTTTACTGAGGATAATTACTGTGTATTAGTAGAAAAGTAACTTTCTAGCTTACAAGCTTAGATAACCGGTGTACTTGAAAATCCAATAGCTGTTCCTTAAATGAACTTATTTATGTAAATCAATTTATATATCTCACTGAAATCTTAAGGTAGTCATGCACTGGGAAGGAAGAAAACTTTACTATGTTAACACCAAAGAGGAAATGTGCATGATCATTTGTTTGTAAGGCTAATAAACTAATCAGATCAAGGGGCTGTCACAATTCCCCGGTCCCCCATCCCCCCCCAATTTCATGGACTCTGGAGACATAATTGAAGTCCATTATCTTGAAATATTTCAAAGACTTGTACTAGATAATTGCTTTGGATACTGAAAAAAAAAAAAAAACAAACCATCATTGCAATAACTACTATGGACTATACTCTTTTTCTGCCTGACTTGACTTTACAGGAGCTACTTTTCTAAGTGAGCTTCATTCTCTGTGTTGATACTTAGTACTAAAATGAGAAAGCTTAAATTGGAACTAAGAAATAAACTCACTTGTAAACTAATTATTAGAAAAGAATTTTCATTCAGATCTGTTTGACTACTGAATAACAAATTTTAAATGTGCCTAGATTTAGTGAAAATTGTTGAAAATAGCCATTGGGGAAATGCCTTGACAAATTTTCTGTTTCTGACATGGTGCTGATTTGATGGATTCAGACTATTGTTTACACTCCAGTCTTGTGGCTTTGGATTAATTTTTCCTGCCTGTAGATGGGCTATTAGAAAAGTTCTTCACAGATAGCTGAATTATACTGAATTGTAACGGTTCTCTGAGCTTCATGCTAAAAGTGACAGAATAGTTAAACGGCAATGAAAAGTGCTTTCAACAGCCTTGGCAAGTGCTAAACATTAATAGTGACCAGATGAGATATGGTTATTGTTTTTCAATTAGCATGCAAGGTAAATCTGAATATTTTTGCTGTGGTTTGAATCACAGAAGACAACAGTTAGAAATGACTAATATTTCTTCTTGGCATCAGTAGTTAAACACATTTTAGAAAAGAGTATGTTTCTGTGCTGCATGGAAAGATTTTAAGTGATTTAATCAGGATTAACTTTGCTATAACAACAGTTTGCCTCTGGTTTACCTGTAACAGTAAGAATTTAGAAGTTGTAAATCATTTCAGATCAAATCATGTCCTAAGTTTATATCTCTTAGTCTATATGTATTGATCAAATTAATATTAACATATAGAAAGTAACCTCCCTTCTCACCTTTACAGCAAATGGAGAGATATGCTCCTGGAAGGATAGTTCTGGGCAAATACTTCAGGTGCTTTGTTGACTAGAGAAAGAGATGAAGGATATTTATTCTAAGTTAGACTTGACCTGTTTAAAAAAATCACATTAAAGGAAAAGCACTCTTAAGGTAATCGAAAAATTGAAAGACAGGCTGTTATTTAGAAGAGTGGTACTTCTTAAAATTGTCTTACACAGAGGCAGAATATACTTTTTTTCCTGTAACAGCTGCATGTAATGATGCCTGGGATAAAAAACATCTCCATTACTGCTCCCCCAGTTCTCAAAGACATCTAAAGTGGGGAGAGGGGTTGGGGAATGAAATAATAGTCTAACAAGCTTTTGACAAGACAAGTAATTCTTTGTCTTTTTTGGTGGTCAGGTGAGCCAAGATGGAAAGTCACTGCTTGACAAACTTCAGAGACCTTTGACTCCTGGGAGTTCAGATTCCCTCACTGCATCTGCCAACTACTCAAAGGCAGTTCATCATGTTCTGGATGTCATCCATGAAGTACTGCACCACCAGCGCCAACTGGAAAATATTTGGCAGCATCGAAAGGTCCGCTTGCACCAGCGGCTTCAGCTGTGCGTTTTTCAACAAGATGTTCAACAGGTAGGTTTTATTTCATATACTCTGTCAGCCTGTGATATGAAGCTGGTTGCATTGACAGGTGGGTTTTAATTGCTAAACCCTGTGTTCTTTCATTCAACGATTGAATAGGTGCATGGGATTGACTGATTCCAAGTTCTGTGTGTTATCAGAGGATATTGGTTGTTACAGGTAGAAATGATATTTGTAAGTTAGCTCTACTTCAGATTTTTCTGTTTTAAAATTCATGTCTTTATTTACTTTAAGTCAGGATGAAGAACGACTTTTATTATAGATGGCTATTCTGAGCTGACATTCACATTCTAGGTAAAATTTTGGACTTGGAAGTGTCAGAAAGATTTGTAGGAGTAACACACAAAAAAATTAACAGTGTTATTCTGTAACAGATTTTTAGTTTCAAATCCTCAGTGATACTTAGTTGACTTAATCATGTTTCTTTAAAATCTGAGAGTAGTGTACTAAAGAGTTATAAAAATTACAGATAAGATTACTTTCTGACAATGATGCTGTTTTTGAATTAATGGCTATTAGCTGCCATATTTTTATTATTATGATGACATCCATTAAAGTTAGTAGTTAAGTACAGGCATTAATATCTCTGACATGGTTTTAGCTTAAAAAGGTAAAGCTGTATTGAATTCCTTTATTGATAGATTCTTAATAAACAGAAGATGTTTGCCTTAGCCTGCAATTGACAAAGGCATTAGTAATTTATGCCTTAATAGCTAATCTTTGTAAAAAAGTAAATATGGCCAGTATTTGCTGATCATGTTCTTTTGTTTCAGTATGAAGGTGTTCACAAATCAGGAACTTCCGAATGGGGTTTTTAGGTAGCCAGTCATACCTTCTGGTTAAACTAATCTTGTTTCTTCCAAATTAGTTGCACTTTAAGCCAAATTTCTTGTACTTCCTGTTTGAGGAAGATGCCGGATGTGAGTAGTTGGGAGTGAAGTAACCTGGTTTCCGTTATTTACAGTAGCTGAAAAAGATACTTAATTCAGGGAGGTGGTGGGGAGAGTGAGCAACCTTGTTAGCTCAACTTTTCTTCTAGAAGTAGTACCTATGTCTTTCTGTATGTTAAAGGAAAAAAAACTTTACTTAGGCAGTGAATTAAGTGTAAAATTACTGAAACTTTATTTCTTAATTTTTGATGTTAAAAAGAGGCATATATTGAAAGGCATGTGGTTATCCAATTTCTTAAGTCAGATGTGAAGGAAGGATGAAGAAAGGTATGAAAAATGTTAGCTGACAAAAACAATAAAATAAATAGTAGCTAGTCAGGAGGGTCCAGTGCTGGTACTTGCATGACTAGTCAGTGAAGGGCACTTGTCAAAACTGATGAGGCACAGTCCACAAACGAATTGCCTTTTAAACTTAAAAAGCTTCATAAGTAATCTTCAGAAACTAACACAGTGGCTTGCATCTTACAGGGAAGAATGTAGGTCCTCTCAGTGGCAGCCTAGTGCTAACAACTGCGGATTAAACCCTGGAACTTTCTCCCCTAGTTTGAATTCAATTCAAGTAGGACCTACTTAGGTAACTGTGGACCAGTAATCTCCTGAGTTTTTTTGCCAGATACATAATTCAGGTTTCAGGCCTGTAGGCCAGGCTTCAGGCAGTTTATTTCCTGGGGAAAGGTGTTCATTAAATTCTCCAGAAGGTCTTATTGTGCTGTTCCTACTCTTTGCCTTTATTCTCTTGGGAGTCATAAAATGTTCGTGGGAGATCATTTTCTGCTCCTTCCTAAGTCATGGCTCTCGGAGTGGAGGAGTTAACCCTGAGACTGCTTTCTTCTTTGAAGTTGGCAAACAACCCTTCATTAGACTCAAGTCATTGTAGCATCACCGTCAGGTTCTTTAGCAAGAAGCTGGATTTTCCTTCTCTGTATGAGACCTGTCAGCCCTTGGAACTGGTGCCTTTAACATCAAATAGTCACAGGTTTGAAAACACCCAAGAGGACAGCTTTACCGATTTTTGTAACTTCCAGTGCCAAGAATGTGCTATCCAAATCATGCATGTAGATTATGAGTGTACCAGAAGTTTTCAGTATGAACCAATTGGCTCAAGAGAGTTGATCCATCTAGGCTCATTATTCAGTACATGCCTCACCTACTGGTCAGAGAAGTTTCTTTCTTCCTGTTTATGCCTCTGGTTTCTCTATATGCTTTGCAAGGCAGATCTTGCATTAAGATATGAAGATATCCTCGTGACAAATTGAAGCTGTGGCCTTTGATGCTAATGCACATCTTTATCAACCACTTTAGATTTCAAACTAGATTTTATGTACAGAGATGCAGCAACTGCTTGCCATGTTCCTAAGCTCTTCCCTTAATATCCAGTAGTTATCACTGCCAGAGACTGGGTTGTCCTTTGGTTTATTCCTCTCATGGCTGTTAACATCTACTTTGGAGGCTTCTGAAATGTTGCATGTGGAAGTATAGCTCTTGTTATGTTACTTTAACTTAAGTTTCAGATATTGGTGAATTTTAGCACAGCTGTATGAATCACAATGTAAACTGTGATTAATGTTCCCTTTTGTGATACAACTTTTCTTACTTACAGCATGATCTGCACTGAAATGTAAGACAATGATAATTCAACATCCATACCAGACAAATTAATCTAATAGCCAAGAGCCTTGCCTTAAAGATAATGGCAACCGCGTAATGGTATTTCCCTGGAATAGCCTTGCTTTGTCAGATTGTAGCTCCCTCAGCTTTGAAAATCCATCAGGGGAAGAAGTGATCTTGAATAATAAGGGTTCTTTTTTCTTGCAAAACAAAACCAAAACAACCTTATCAGATCATCTAATTTATCTGGCAAATGTTAGCTCTTCAGTTGAATAATCGTTGACACCATTCAGTGCATGAAATTACTTGGTTTTGAGGTATTTGTTAAATTTATATCCAAAACAATTCTGGAATGATTTATGTAGAGCTCCAAAACAACTTTCTAAAATACTTTAGTTTTCATTTCCATATTTTCTTGGGCTTCTTAGTCTTTGTTCAAACCTTAAAAAATTCAATTAAGATTATCTAGCTTGATTTAGAAACTAGCATGAAAACCTTCTTTTAGTTATTGTCAGTAAAGTTAAACGTTGGGTTTTTTTTTTCATGTGAAAATCAACTAAATGCAGCTTGCTTTCAGTGTTTATAGTTAAATTGCACATAGTGGCACGCAACCAAGTGCATTGTAAGTGAATCTATAACTGTCCTTCGGCATGAGTCTGTGATTTCCTCCTCTTCCCTCTGCTGGCGTAGTTTTCTGCTGAATTAATGAAATAAATCACTTCATGGAAGTGTTAAGTGAGTAACAGAGCTGAGTTGGAGAAGGGAATTGGCTGTGTTGAGCTGGTACTTCATTTTGTGTTACTTCCACCTTAGAAAACTGGTTGGGTGTGGGTTTTTTTTTCTTTTTCTGTCTAGTATGTTCAGTATTGGGAAAGTGTTTCCAGTGGAGATTTTCAAATCAACAAAACCACTGTGGAGCTAGCTGTGTACGCCAAGAATAATCTGCTAATTTCTTGAAGCAAGTAGTAAGGAAAGTAGCATGTGCAATATTAAAAATAGTAGATAAGATGTGAATTACAGCAAATGTGAAATTTGAAACATGAAAAACCTCTGACAGTCTTAAAACGAACAGAATTCTGAGTTTGACCTTAGATAGCAGAAACATACTAGGAGATCTAGTTCCTGGCTAGTTTGTACATTAACACCAAAAAAAGAGGGTGTTTAATTTGAAAAAAATAAGTCACTGGCTGTTGCACTCAATTGTTGAAAGTAGCCCTTCTAATGTTAAAACATGCTAATAAAAGTATAATTTTATGCTTAAGAATTAACGAGCTTACCAAGTAGATAGTATATGCCAGCCTTTCACGTAAGGAAAGGAGCCGGCTATGACAATTCTGATATGAAGCAATAAAGCAGACTTACAATAGCAATGTGGGGTTTGTGCTGCTAGGCCATGAAAGGTCAAAATTCAACATAATGTATCTGGTAGAGTGATACTGCTGACACTCATATGGGGACAGTTTTGGGGCCTGAAAAACACTCCTGATCGCTTGCAAGCCAGAGATTCGTAAAACATACTTGTAGTAGTTTTGTTCCAAAACCTACATTTATATAGGTCTTACTGACCTTGAGTGTCTTCTCTGTCCATACTGGATAAATGTGCTGCTTCTCCTTCTGATCTGCCTTCCTCAGAGACTCCATCCCAGTTTTTTGTTGTAACAGTCACATGTTTCAGCCTTGACTAACGAAGAGCGGGCCAAGAATCCTGATTTCACTGGGTGATTCCCTTGTGGCTTTTGGAGGTGGCTCCGGTGTAAAATGGGTTTTTTGGGGAGAGAGTATTTCCACATTTTAACTACCCCCTTCTGAATGTTATGTTAGCAAAAACTGGTGCAGATCAGAAAAGTGAGTGTGTGCCAAGTAGGTAAAGGGGTGGGAGGGTAAGAACTGGATACTAATATTGGAAAGACTGGTAAAAATGAGCACATGGAATCTGCAAAAGATCAGATTGTTTATTTCTGCAAGCAGCATATACAAGCCACCTATTTTACAGCCATGAGCAATGAATTTGTCAAGATGAAGCTATCTTTCCATAGTAGTTTCTTCTATAACGTGTTCAGTATTGGTGCTAGAAGTATAAGCATTTTTCTAGTTCTACCACTGGGCATAAGGATGGTTCTGCTTGAGACTGCAGTTATTGCTTGTTTGCATCATTAAAGCAACTTGCTGTAGTGGAGGATAATATTATTCACCCTTTTACTGAAAAGTATGGAGCCTCTTAAGCTCCTGTGTATTACTGAACTACTGGAGTGAATTCCATATGCTTTCACGATTAGTAAAAGAGTCCTTAGTTGGTATGGTGGTTTCTGTAACTCTTACCTCTCCCAGGAAGAGGAAGAAAATGCATCAGTTAAGATTGCTAAATGGCTAATATCAGTGCCAGCTAGTGGTATTGACCTTTGGTCAAAGTGGCGTGCAAAAGCTATCACTGATGGGCAAGAGTATACATTTCACTTAAAGGCAGCAATGTTTCTCTAGTTGACTGGTTTGTGTCATGATCTACCTGGACTTGTGCAAAGCATTTGACACTGTCCCACATGACATCCTTGTCTTTACATTGAAGACGTGGATTTGATGGATGGACCACTCAGTGGATATGGAATTGGCAGGATGGTTGCACTCAAAGAGTTGTGGTCAGTGGCTCAATGTCCAAGTGGAGACCAGTGACGAGTGGTGTTCCTCAGGGGTTGGTATTGGGACTGGCACTATTTAACATCTTTATCAGTGACATGGAGAGTGGGATCGAGTGCACCCTCAGCAAGTTTGCCAATGACACCAAGCTGTGTGGTGTGGTTGACATGCTGGGTGGAAGGGATGCCATCCAGAGGGACCTTGACAGGCTTGAGAGGTGGGCTCATGTGAACTTCATGAAGTTCAACAAGGCCAAGTGCAAAGTCCTGCACATGAGTTGGGGCAATCCCAAGCACAACTACAGGCTGGGCAGAGATTGGGTCAAGAGCAGCCCTGAGGGTGTTGGTGGATAAGAAGCTCAACATGAGCCGGCAGTGTGCGCTTGCAGCCCAGAAAGCCAACCGTGTCCTGGGCTGCATCAAAAGAGGTGTGACCAGCAGGTCAGGGGAGGCAATTCTCCCCCTCTGCTCTTGTGAGACCCCACCTGGAGTACTGTGTTCAGGCCCCCCACATACGAAGGACATGGAGCTGTTGGAGCAAGTGCAGAGGAGGGCCATGAAGGTGCTCAGAGGGCTGGAGCACCTCTTCTGTGAGGATAGGCTGAGAGAGTTGGGACTGTTCAGCCTGGAGAAAAGAAGGCTCCAGGGAGACCTTATTGTAGCCTTCCAGAACCTAAAGAGGACCTACAAGTAATCAGGAGAAGGACTGTTTACAAGGGCATGTAGCGACAGGACAAGGGGTGATGGCTTTAAACTGAAGGAGGGTAGATTTAGATCAGATATTAGGAAGAAATTCTTTCCTGTGAGGGTGGTGAGGCACTGGAACAGGTTGCCCAGAGAAGCTGTGGCTGCCCCCTCCCTGGAAGTGTTCAAGGCCAGGTTGGATGGGGCTTTGGGTAACCTGGTCTAGTGGAGGGTGTCCCTGGCCGTGGCAGGGGGGTTGGAACTAAGATGATCTTTAAGGTCCCTTCCAACCCAAACCAGTTTATGATGCTGTGATCTGTGTCCTGGATTTCTATGACAATTTCTTCTCTTGAGAAGTTACTGAGCATTATTTGGAGCAAAAATCATTCTCCCTGGGGTGCTTTCTGCTTTTCATCCCATGCTTTCTGGGACAGATTTTGCTGTTGATTTCATTTGTTAGTTTATAACTTTTAGTAGTCTCCAGAGTCCAGTCTAATTCTCTCATCCAAACATGTCTCTCTTTAGTTCTTTTTATAATGAGAAGAGCAGTGTAGTCTCCTGAAACTAGTCAAAAAACATTGGTAATAAAAATTTTACAGATAACTGAGGCCATGTTTAGCTCCTCACTCTACCTTCTCTGATCAATACTTTCCCTTGAAAGAAGCAAATGAAAACATACATTGACCTAAAACACAATAGTATTCTTTTGGCAGTACTTACTAGGAAAAACAAACATTGCATAAGTTGAAGTACATGCCACAGAGATTTAGTGAAGTGGTGGTGATTTGAGATGGCTTTATCATGTGGCATTATGGGATCCTTTGTTGTTTTGACAATGTCCAGTAGGAGAGAGTTTGCAAACCAAAAAGGATTCTAACTGTCCAGATAAATGAGAAAATAACACCACGTGGTTTCATTTTGTCTACTAAAGAAAGCATGGGTGTTTTGTATGGAAACAGTGTGTGAGATTACACGTGTATTGAATGTAGCCATGAGTGATGTTGCAGGAATGGTTCTCAAGTCTGTTTGAAAGGAGAAAAAAAAAAAAGTCTTTAGTTACGGTAAGTGTCAAATGCTTTTAGTACAGGAAAAGGAGGAAAAAACCCTCACCTGACTTCAGGAATCAAAGTAAAGGACACTAGTAGATAAGGAGAGATAAGGTACAGGTTTCTGGCAGGTATTTTCAAACTTAAACAAAATATTCAGGTTTTAAAGAAAAAAGAAGGCTGAAGATAAATGTTACACTGCTACATACATACTCTATAAAAATGGTAAGCTGACTTAAGAAAATTGCTTATATGCAGTTGTCTTTTAATTCTGAACAGCATTTGTGAGCCTCTGAGTGTCTTCCAAAGAATTAAATACCATATGCATGCTAGCTAATGAATGAATGAAGATATGGCTAAGATGTAGTAGTTTGGAGAGAGACCAGATGTTTTTGTTCGTTCACTCATCAGAAACTTGGTATGTGTGCAGTAATCCTTTGTGTTAACTGGCAGGAACTAATTACAGTTCTTGCTATTTATAAAGCTGTCAGCCCAGTCATTGTGGTAGAAGTTTTAATGTCCTTAAAATGTCTTTCCTTACTTTTTCAGCTGTAAAATTTACCATACACAATTATGTCAATCTGATATTTTGAGGAGATGCTTCTCCAGAATTGGGGCAAAATCCTTCATATTCTCTGAATGCAGACATTGTCATTCATCTAATGATTTCAACTCAATTTTATTGTGTTAGTTAAAAATTCTACTACTGAATCTTTCTTCTTGACTTAATATGTAGCAAGAGAAGGAACTTCTCATCTAAAATAAAACTTCACTGTTTTATTCACCAGCATTGTTGGAAAATGTGCAAACATCATTAGTGTTACATTACAGAAAAATGTCAGCTGAAGGCATAAATGGATTACAGAGAGACCCTCACAAGGAGTCGAGTCACTTGGATCAGATTACTGTCAAATTGATGAATGTGTAGAAATCTGGTTGTCCTTGGTAGGCTTCAAAATAAACATACAATCTTAAATCATACAATTTAGCTAGTTTAAGCTAGTTATTGCCTTCAGAAAAGTCAATGAGATGTAATTAATGTCTTTCAATAGTAATACTGTGTTTTAATCCGACAGTACAGTTTCTTATAAGCAGTCCCTTTACAGCTTCTTATTTTCTTGAATAGTTGTCTTTTTGTTGCAACATTCAGTACATCCATTCAGAGTTTGTGTGTGTCTCTTCTGTACCACAGGTGTTGGATTGGATTGAAAACCATGGAGAAGCTTTTCTTAGCAAACATACTGGAGTGGGAAAATCTCTGCATCGGGCTAGAGCTTTGCAGAAACGCCATGAAGACTTTGAAGAGGTTGCACAGGTAAAAACAATCACATGACTGACTGTACACCTGTCATGGAAATACAGGAAAAAATCCTGCTCTGGCACTGACAGGCTGGGCAGAGGGAGCTCCACTACAAAAAAATTCAGTTCCAAGAATGGACTGTTTTGTTTCTGTTGCAAGCTTTTATTTCATTTCTTCTTTGCACTCTAGCTTCAATAAGAAAAAGACAAACTTCCATAGTCCTACAAAGGGTGGGAGCCTTGAAACTCAACAGAGCTGCTGCTATTATTACTAATTATTATTACTGTTAGTAGTAGTATTATTTTCAAAAGCATGCTCTCAAATGTTGAGTCACATTAGAATGAAAGCTCTCCTTTTAAAGTAACTTGATTCCATGGGATTCTAGGATTTAAACTTTTGTGTGGCCTGTAAGAGAGGCTGGAGATGAATTGAAAGCCCTGCTTCCTGACTTTAGGCTTGAGGAGCTCCCAAATCCCCACAACAGTCTGATGGAGAGGGAAGGGGTGAACTCCAGAGAAGCCACGTGAGCCAGCAAACTGGCCAACCTGGCTTTGGGGTTTTTTCTTTAAATACAGTTGAGTTTGTATATGCCCTCTTGTTCTGAATCACTGATACCAATGCTTTTTCCACGGGAAGACTCTAGTTTTAGGTTTAAGTGGGACTGATGATAGAAGTTCAAAACACACTTTTCTGTGAAAAAGAATCAAGCCAAAAATAACAGAGATACTAAATCGTAACAAGATATAACAAAAGGAAGCATAACAAAAGGAAGTTGGTTTGCATGGCAGCCTTGAAAAGAGGGCCATGAGGTGACTAAAACCCATGAGAACCTGAAGGCTAGAATCCTCCCCATTAGTATCATACAGTCTGTCCAATCTTTAATGATTGGTAAGAGTAAACATCTCTAAGATTCATCAAGAAAAATCTCATTAAGGTAGGGTTGAAACAGTGGTCCTTCAGTCAAAACAGAACAAGCATTATTAGAAAATTCTGAAGTGACATGCAGGAGCTCAGCAGTGACACCTAACTATGGCAGATGCATCAGAAGTGTGTTTACAGATGGCCTGTTTAATGGGTGATTAAGCTCTTAAAAAATTTTATTGTAAATGCGGTCTTAGAGCACTCCAGTGACTGAGTACCTGAAATAGCATGAGAAAGCTTCCTCAATATTGATTTCTTATAAACTTTTCCAAAATAATAAATGTTGTTAGTTTTCTATAAACAGATGCTGGATTTTCCCTATGCATGCCTAATACTTAATTTTTAGTAAAATCTGTAATATTTTCCATGTGGAAATACTTATTTTTTTGGGTCAGACAAGCAAGAATCTATTTCTGTAAGATACGTAACAAAACCTGAATGATCTCATACTTAATACTGTGTTGTTTGAGCAAAGAAGAAAAAAAAAAGTTTGAGTAACCAAAGGGGATAAAGTGTGTAGAGCTGTTAGTGGGATGTAAACTGTTAAAAAAGCATCTTGTTAGTTTGCATTATACTTTAAAGTAGAAAGTTGTAAAGCAAATACTTAGCAAAAACTTCCTAAAACTTAATGTTACTAGAGTTTAAAATAGGGGATGGGTGGAATTTCTATTTTTGGAGATACTGAGAACTTAGACTGGTCAAAGAACTTAAATACACTACAGGGGACTATCTTCTACTGACAGAAGGATGGACAAAATGATCTAATAAGTATTTTTTTCATCTCTAACTCTGACTGCCAAGAGAGGCACACCCTCTGAGTTGTTCCTCTTGCTTGCTCTAAAACTGAATGTAAGCAGGCCCCAAAAGGAATTCCTGTTGTTGGTGTTCTAAGGAAGATTATGTTCAAGTATAAGACAGCAATCTGCAGTCCTTGTTAAAGCATGAATAACTTTTGGCTGATTTATCCTCTACCTACATTTCTGGTTGGTCCAGGTCTTTGGTGGGTTTGTTTGGTGGTGGTGGTTTTTTTTGTTGTTTGGGGATTTTCTTCTTGTTTTTTGTTGTGTTGTGGTTGTTTGTTTTTTTTAATAGGACCCGAGGCATAATCGGGGATTTTCAGTCAGCTCTAGTCAGAAGTTGAGAGGAGGCAGTGTCAAGTGAACTGTCAGTGGCATGGCAGTGTTTTACCAAATGCGGGGAGCCAGCAGTAATGTTGAAATGTTCCTGATTGAAGGCTAACTCCTGATTTTGAGAAGCCAAAATTATTTCTTTTTTCTTCCCTTCTGCTTCCTCTCTCATTCTTCTTAATGTGAATGAGGTGCCAATTCCTCAGCAGCATTCAAAGACATTAAAATAAGCTGTGTCAAATAGAAAAGATGTTCCAAAATCAATGGGCTGTGGGCTCACAAATTAGTCACTTTAAAATTCCTGTGAAATGAAAGCTTGTTTCTCTTTCTTTGGCACTTTGTTACCACTACAGAAACACTGGATAGTCAAAGCTCAGCTGACTAATAATCCTCCCTAAATTCGGTTGTATTGACATTTGTGCTACATATACACACTTCAGCTTGCACCCACTATTGTGAAATTGTGTTGCTCTTTTCATGTGGAGACTATCAGTTCACTTTCTGCTTACTGTTTTATTTTTTTAAATTTTTTTTCCCCTCTCCCCATGATCATCTTTGTATCCATGAGACCACTTAGTCAAAGTGTCAAGACTCCAAATTTTGACATAACTGATTCACTTATGAGCATGGATTTTCAGCTTAGAAACACTGGATGCAGATCAATAGTGCGGTTATACTTTCCCATGCATTTTTGTATAAAATTCTAAGTCAGCTTCTCCTGTTTCAACTATGATTGATGTCTGCTTTTTGACAGTAGTCTATGTTCAAAATACATGAAAGGTGTATGGCAAGAATTAATTAGAGGGATCTTTTTCCACAGGTAAGTTCTTTTCTCCCATGTGCAGACTGCATCTGAGTAAAGAACTCCAGTCGTCTTGGTGCAAGAAATGCACAAGAGAGATTCTTCCAAACCTCGTTTGAATACACCTATTGTTTCCCTACCACCACCAATTCCTACCTCCTTTAAGGTTGTAAAAAAAAGATTATATATTTGAACTGGTTCTTAACTTTACCCATGAATGGCTGTAATATATCAAAATACAGGTCCATGTCTTAAAGTATCTTGTGGCCATCACTAGATGCACAAAGGAAAGGGACTGTATGCTTAAAAAGTTATCTCTATCTTCCTCGCATATTTGATGTCTGGAACTGAAGGATGCCTTAGAACCAGTGTTTTAATAGTCACTGATGGACTTTTCTCCCCTTAATTAGGCTAGCTACTTTTTCAAGTAGCTCTTGAAATGTGTGCCAGATCCTGTGGCAATGAGTTATGCAATTTAATTGCTCCTTAGATGAAAAGTACTTTTGCTTTGTCATTTTAAGTGTGTTGTCTGATGCTTAAACATGATAACATCCGCTGTATTTAATGAGTAATCTATCTTAATTTTCTCTGCCTTTAATGATTTGTGTACCTCTCTTAATCTTCCTCCATCCATGTGTGTCTCTCTCTTCCCCCTCCATAGTGCAATAAACTCCAGTTTGTATGAAATTCAGTCCATACCACCACTCACTTCTGTTCCTTTATTTATTGTCAGTAGTACTCATTTCTGCAGTAGTCTCTTAAAATTTACCTTTGACTTTTCTATGTTGTGTCACTTAATATGTTTTCTAAAAATATGGTGATTGTTTTTTCTGAAGAATACGTAGAGAAGGTTTCTGAACAGGAAGACTAGGAAACCGATGGGATATGTTGTTGGGGAAGGTGGTGAACTCTCTGTTATGGACAGTCTTTCAGCATTTCGGACAAGAATGCCTATTAAAGACTCGAGTATAGTTGATCACACCTTGGAGCACAGAAGGATGGATTAGAGGACTTCTTAAAGCTCTTACCAGGCTGATTCTTTTCCCATGGGATTTGGGGAGGGCATGCTAGTGGAGAAATTCTGAGGAAGTGTTAATCCGCTTCAAAACTCTGTTGAATTTGTCACCATGAAGTCTCCTTTGTCAATTTAGGAAACGGGCATAAACAGCTTCAAGAGAGCGCTACTGCTCTTTCTGCCTAACTTCTGTTTTCTAACTCGTGGCTGCCCCTTGGGACCAATGTTTTCAAATCTTCACGTTACTCCTTTTTTTCCCTCCAAGCATTGTTTAGAAGTAAGCAGAGAGTTGGGAAAGGCAGTAGTTAGTACAGCACGCCTATTTGCTGTGATTTCTATTCCAAAGGGCAGTTGTTATTTACCAAGATAAATATTTATGTTATATTTAAGTTCTACTTGGAAGAGAAATTTTAGTGATAAGGCATGTGTCTGCTGTTAAGGTTTGAGAATTGCAACCCCTTTTGAAGCGGCATCTAGGTTGTGATCACTTCTAAGTACAGGCAGTTCACCATCCAGCTTACAGAAAGAGCAGTCTGATGTGCCTGGGCCTGTGTTACACTGAAGATACTCCTGGAATTCATAAACAACGCTTCACATGTGAGATAAAGTTTTCATTAAAATGGGAACCTTCTGTTTCAGCCATCTGCAGCTGGGTGTGGCCCTCTGGGTTGATGAAGTAGTTGTTGTTTGAGGAGTGCCTTGAGGCTTTTCAGCCTTGCCCGTTGAACACGTGTGAGCTGGGACCATTGAAGTCACAACACCAAAGCAGAGATCGGAGCGTGTTCTGGGCCAACACGGCCTGAGCCATCGATCTGGAGCGTTGAATAGTGCGCTCCCCACAGGCTTATGTTAGTCTCTGCAGGCTTTCCCAGGGAAACTGGGGAGGAGTTCTCCACCTCTCTGTGCAATTAAAAAGCTGAAGGTTGAGGAGGGGCTAAGATGCACATAGTCAAAATCATGGAGCAGCATGGATTGAATTCCTTACATAAATAGATCATAATAAATGAAGGAGGAGCTTCCCCCAAATACATGAAAGCTGCGCTGAGTCATGTAATCCATCCTAGGCTTGCCTGGTAATTTTGAGACCCTGGAGGAGAGCTCTTATTTCCTGCCCCTTAGTTGAGTTTTAGGGCCAGGCCTGGATTTAACTTTTGTGGATATTATGTTAATTAGAGGTGTGATACTATATTTATGGCAAAGAAGAGCACATTTACATAGGCTTAATTTATCTTGGCGAGCAGTGTGTTTAACCTGATGTAATTGAGGTTGGGAGAAGATGGAAGGGCAGAAGGGAAAAGAGAAAGGTGTAGTTCATATTGTCAAGAATTTTAATTTTTTTTATAGTCTGTGGTACAAACTTATCAGGAGACCTAATGTGGTGTCATAAACAAAGTTTCTTTAGTGTAGACTTGGCTTCAATCTGTTTTCTCCAGAGGTTAACATATTTTTATGCTTTCTCGATGAGGCTGTTTTGAGAACTATTCTAAGGCATAAAAACACAAGGTTGTGCTCAAAAAGAGCACCCAAATTATAGCAAATGTTTAGAATCCATCCTGGTTTGAATTAATGAGAAATACATAGATGCAAGCTGCAAGTTCTGAGCTTTAAGAGATGCTAAACATGTCTCTCTTCTCTGGACCATAGTGCTGTCAGCACAACAGGTACCAGAATTCCCATTCCGTGTTCTGCTTTGACCCAAGTATCTGACAGGACTGCTGATCTGCATTTGTTAATCCTATGATGTATTGGGACAACATTCCACTCTGACACTCAGCCATAGATGGCTTCTAAATCTTCCTCTGTTGCTGCTGTTTCACAAATGTGAAATTCATCTGTCACGTGAATTTTGGATACCTCACTTCTGTAAGGATGGAGAGAAATTTTCTCCTTCCACCTTCCTGCTGGATGTGTGGATTTGATGTTAAGCATCTCTACCAGCAGCTAGGACTTTCTCAACTCTAATAATACACATTTGAAAAGTCTTTTGGCCATGACTGTAGTGATTTTTTTCAGTATTGAAATAGGCCAGTTTGCAAGTAATTAGACATTTAGGCTGATCTTTATTCTAGTTGTGAATATAAAATACTAATTCCAAGGAAGAATAAATAGGCTCCCTGGTTTTGGATCGAGGAGATATTTGAATAGAATTAAATAAGGAGCTAAGGGATTCGTTTATTCACAGTTAAATGAAAAAGTATCTAGAAATATAACAAAATCTTTAGTAAAATTATATTCTACTACCTTTAAAAAAAAGAAGAAAGAAAAATACATTCCAGGGGCCTTTTTGTTTTCATTAGTGGAGTGGCTTTAAAATATACTGACTGAATTTTCTTTCATTTAATCCTGTGAAACTAACTTATTTCTCTACAGAACACATACACCAACGCAGATAAGCTCCTAGAAGCCGCTGAGCAGCTCGCTCAGACTGGGGAGTGTGACCCGGAGGAAATTTATCAAGCTGCCCATCAGCTCGAAGACCGGATACAGGATTTTGTTAGGCGTGTGGAGCAACGCAAGATCCTGCTGGACATGTCTGTGTCCTTTCACACTCATGTTAAAGAGGTAAAACTGCTGCTAAGTCGCGGTCCTAACTTTAAACCTTAAAACCGATATTGTCCAATGTTACTTTCATTGTTAGAACCTTGCTGTAAGAAGTCTTGAAACCCCTGTTGTATGATGAGTTTTGGTTTGTAATTCACTGCAGATTGGGGGCTGGGGTAGTGTAGTTGTTCTATTTATGGATTTTGTTAATTTTTTATTTTTATTTTTTACTTTCACAAGCAGCTTCTACCTTCTTTGTGCAAGTACACATGGTTGTTCAGTCATGGGGAAGGGGGGAAGGTCAGATAAAAGAACTGATACAGCTAAAAGCATTGCTGTATCAGCAATGGGGGGGGGAGATACCATGTACTTTGCTTTTGTTGGTTTTGTGTTGGTTTGTTTTGGGTTTTTTTCCCCAGCCAGCTCTCCAGTGCAGTTAACTGAGTTGTCAGACACATGGTTAGACTGACACAGTTCAGAATACTAAAACTCATGGCAGAAGCACAAGGCTACTTAAGGCACCCCTGCTACCCAGAGAGATTTTGTTTTCTTTCTCTGTTTTACACGTTGCATTTTGATCTTGTATATTGATGGTTCTTCACAACCTAAAGATCTTATCTGATAATGAGAATGGTTTGCCTCATGTTTGCGACTTTTAGTCTCTTTCAGAGGTTGAACTGGTACACTGGAAAAAAGACAATTCAGTGAAACACACTTAATTTTCAGCCTGATCAGTTTTCTGCTCCAATTCAGAACACAGACTGTATGAATTTATAAGTTCACGGGAGAGGGTGGAATAGGCTAGAGGAAGAATAAGGACTGCAGTAAGGGGTTTTGGTTAAAGGTAGTGGCAAATTTTGACAACTGTAGATTACTTGTTTTCTGTTTAAAGCTCGTGTTAAATCTTACTGCTCAAACTAGATGAAAATATGAAAGGCTTCAGGATCACAGCATGTCAGATTATGTCTTTGTTCCCTTCACTCTATATTGAGAAATGGTCTGTTCAGTGGGGAAGTATAGTATTCGAAGTAGCTTCTTCAGCAAAACCTTGTAGAGGATAAGGGTGGGAGTTTTTTTGTATGTGAAACATCTGCTTTGCACTTGAAACAAATGCACAAGCCAGTTGGTCTTTGAAGGAGGTCAGGATTGAATTACTACTTAGCTCTAGACATGAGTACATAGCTCCCCCATCAGTTTTCTGGTAGATGCTTCCTTGCAGATATTCTCCCAGGACTCTTCTTGTTTAAGCAAAACATAAATGCTGTATCGTAAGACGGAGACTGTAAAAGGATTTGCAAGGAAAGAGCTTTCAAATATCAAAAAAACCCCGAAATGCAGACTGATCTGTGAATCACTACTGAGTAATTCTGGGAGGCTGATCCAGATGTGCTGGAATGTTGCCACTGCTCCCCTAGATAATAATGTTTTATTGAAAAACACAAAAAAAAGATATTCTGTATCTTGATTTATTTCTCTGGGAAAACAGATAATATTGTGACCCTGTAAGTGCACACAGCTGTTACTATGGCAGCCTCTTTGCAGCCTGGACTTTGTGGGGAAGATACTATGGCTGATGTACACATGTTGATTTTTTTGTTTGTTTGGTTTTGTCATGTCCTGACCTTTAGAGCTAATAAAGCAAGGAAAATTAAAAAGAGTACTTATTTATGCAAGCAAGACTATCTTTTTATTTATTTGCATTCTATTTAAAAATACATATGAGAGTGAGGCAGGTGGTTCATATATAGTAGACTAGTCCTTTGCTTAAGGTGCAAAGAAATAGCAAGCTCAAAGCTGTCTGGTGCATTCTGTATTCTGATCTGTTTTCAAGAGCATGTTGTTTGTTATCAAACATGCGTGTGGAGTGCTGAGAAGGCATCACAAAGCAGATGGAAGATAAAAATGCCCTAAACCTGAAAGTCATCCATGCTTTGTTGGCAGGAGAATTGCATTTCTCCTGGAGGATGTGGGAAGTCGCTGAATAAATTAGTGCATACCTGTAAGCACATAACCTTTCTGCTGTATGATGGAGTGAAGAAATTAATGTGCATGCTGAGGTAGTGAAGAGAGGAATTCAAGTAGTAGGATAATACGCTAGTTGTTGAACCGGAAAGAGATGCTTCAGTTGTTTAAAAAAAAAAAAAAAAAAAAACAGGAAAAAAAAAACCACAGAACAACCCAAACAAATCAAAACAAAACACCACCAACACATTTTACCCTTCAAGTATTCAGGGTGGATTTTTTTTCTTGTATCTTCTTGTGTGTTTTCCTGGGCTAAACAATAAGCATGAAGAGTAAAAACCCTGTTTGTGTGTGACAGTTTGAAAGGAGCCACAGAGCTGAGAAAAGCTGGTAATCTGAGTTGTTGGCTGTTTTGAGTCTTTGAAATCTGGCTCCGATATCCATCCAATCCCTTGCTTGTTTTGAAGTTGAATGTTTTGGTATGTTTTATTCTTTTCCCCAGAAATACTTCATGCTGAATGAATTCTTCTCATCTGGATGGGAGCATTCCAATATTACTTCTCCCCTGTAGCTGTACATAACCTTTGTACTTGACACAGAATTTGCCTGCAACTTTTCCCATGCAGTGGGAAGCGTCAGCCCTGCAGTGTCTGCACAATACTGTTACTCTGTTCACACTTAGTAAGTCAGCACAGTTTCTGCTTTCAGAAGCAGCATGCTTGCCACAAAAGCAATATATCGGCTTGACATGTCCTGGAAGTAACAAACTTTTGCTATACCTGTGCACAAAGCAGCTGTGTAGTATGTGTGCAGCAGCCTGTTACAATGCATATTGTAAATGCTGGCTGGTTTTAACATTTCCAGAAGTTCTGTAGCCAGGTGGTTACAAGCTGGTAGAGCTCCCTGTGGCTTGCAAACATCGGAAAACAACATATAAGCTCTCAGCCTCCTCAAGGACTAACCTCAATGGACCATGTTTCTCATTGGGGGGAGGGGGGAGGGTTGTATTCAGGGAAGCCAGAAATACGATGTTATGTAATGCTCATTTTGCTTAATGGTGATCCATGAAAATCAGTTGCCTGCTATATATAAATTGTGCTTCCATGCTGTTATCACTAGTTTTAAATTTGTAAAGTTGTGAATATTGATTTTTAGCTCCCATGCAAACAATGAGGAAATTGAATCTATAAGCCAGATTTTTCAGTAAGTGAGATACTGAAGTTAAGCAGTGCACTGGTGAGCTTTAAAAGTGTTTGGGAGCATAAATAGCCCTATCAGAATCTTTGCATTGAAAGTACTGTGTGCTGGCAGGTTCGTAGACTGAGGATGGATAAAATGCACCTGAACATCTGAAACTGTTGACCATTGCAAGACAGTGAATCCCTTATGGGTTTTGTGCCTTTTGACATTTAGTAATACAAGGAGGGACAAGATGAGAAAAAAATTGCACAGGTAAAAGATACATTTCCTAAATAAATGGTTATCATAAAATGTGGTGTACAAAACATAGGAGCAAGAGTCACGGTAGTCTTTGCTGTGAAATCTGTCACCAAGTAGAGATGAACAGTATTTTGGTGTGAATTCAAATTCTTCCATACACATACATACAGACACACATGTACGCACACTCTCTCTGAAATGGCTCCCTTAGCATCTGTGAGTGGGAAGACTGAAATCCTGGCCAACCCAGGTGTTTGTAGTAGTGCCAAAGTAGAGCAACAGATATTTTCCTAACTCGAGTCAAGTGTGGGAATACAGTTCAGGCTGACTGTACGTGGAAGAGAATATCTCTTAAGAGTCTGCTGGCTTTTTACATATAACCTTTTGTGTGTATTCTGACAAGTTGATTATAAAATAGCTCAGAGCACTTTTTATGTATACACAATATGCTTAATGGTGTTACTAGATGTCTCCTTTCTTTTGTCTTACTCAAACTAAACTTTAAACCAGAATAGACTGAGGTTGAAACGAAGAAAAAGGAAGTGGAATTGGCTAAGCTTTCAAATGCAAAACCTTGCTGTTGCTGAACAAAAGTAATGAAACAGTAATCTGTGCAAGCTGTGGCATCATTTTGAAGGTGCCAATGCATGGGAAGGCTGAGGAGACCTTGCTCTGGTCATAATGCTGTTGATTCATTCACATCTAGCTATGAGGCATGTGTATTTGATTCAAAAAAGCTTGTTGATAAAGGTCTCGCTTTGTCTCACGACCCACTGCTAGAAATACGTCCTCCTTTGCATCATCCTGTGCGGAAGGGTGTCTGTCCATCCACACAGCCTTTCATTTGTTTCATCCCAGGTGGACCCTGAGGTGACAAACCTGCTCTTCTGGTTGCCGGTCACTCCTGGGTATTTGTCTTCTGTGCTGGTGGTCTACAGCTTAAATGTGGATGTCACAATAAGACTACTCGCTCCTCTGCCTGCCCTTTCCACGCAGCAGGGCAGCTCTTGCATGCCACCAGCGAAGTGTGAAGACTTTCTCCCTTGGGCTCTTGTGCATCTTTAATATTATTATCGTGTCATTATAGCACAACAGCGCTCAGTGTGATGGGTCTGGCAAAATATATGAGATGCAGTCTCTAGTCAGTGCTCTGATATGCCAGTCATCTTGAATCTGAGAGTTGAGGAGGACAGTTTTTAAGTCTGCAATAAGAGAAACATGTTCAGTGGCAGCACACTGAAGTGTGCTGGGGTTTACTGGTTTGGTAGGACTGGGGTCCAGTTACCTAGCACAGATTTTCTCTCTTGAGTTTTCCAATACTGGTAGTTACTTTGCTTGAAAAAAGGGACCAAATTTAAGTCTAAGCATTACTAAAATAGCAATAAGTGCTTGAGAGAAGTGAGGCTGAAATAGACCTTTAAACTGTGTGAAGGTATGGTATAGACTTTTTTTGGTTGTTGTTCAGTTAAGAAATGGGACAAGTGCTAAAAGGGTACTAGTAGTTGATGTAATTTTAGGAAGATGTGGGAGACTTGGTTTTGCTTCAAGGATGAATCTATTCTGAATAGGAAATTGATTCCATTATAACTGTAGAATAAATATGAATATTTGAAGCTTTTTAAGATCATTAAACCTGATTTTTAAAAAATATGCTTGCATTTAGTATCTTAAATGTCACTGAAAGACCCTGGAAGGCAAACTCCTGGGGTTTTAACATCTTACCCTTTTTGTTTTTAAAAAGATACAGCAGCTGTCCACTGCATGTCCTGAAAACCAAAGCTTACAGACAGACGGACACACATCAGCCCCTTTCTATGCCCAGATATACTTGTTAGGGAATACTATTGCAACATTTGGCCCTGCGCAAATAAAATAGCTCCTTCAACAACTGTGCCTGTGGTAATGCACATACTGCAACACTGTGCTGGGGGGAAGGGGCAAAAAAGAGGAATTGGCAGGTTTTAAATGCAGAAACTTTGTGCCTTTCTTTGTCTTACCCTGATGAAAAGGCTGACTGAATATCCAAAAGCCATTATTATAAAAATGAAAAATAAAATAAATTGTGAAAGAGCATGGCAGATATTTTATCCAAATAAAATAACTGTGTGCACTTGGGAAGGTATTTACTCAAAAATAATTGTTCTCCCATTCTATATGGCAAAATGCTGTAGGGTTTTATTTAGTTGCAGTCTTTCAGCAGATTGCAGAGATGGGACTTAAATGGATAGAGGCCCATGATGGAAACACTGAAACTTCCAGGATGTTGCAGACAATTAAAATAATACCATCTCGGTGACTAATGGCATGCTCCCAAGAACTTAGGAAAGAGGTAGCACAGGATGCAGGCTCACTCAAGCAGATGTTTCTTAGTCTGTGCTATATTTAGATCAAGAAAAAAAATCTGCTGGGTGAAACATTTGCCTGTCAGGGATTCAGAATTTGATTTCCCTCTCCAATTTTAATTCTGATAAGATGTGAAGAGCAGATGAAAAGAGCAGAAGAGCCTCCTTCTGTGACTGGATTGAGTTATTTATACGGTTTTCTCACTGTACGTTAGAGCTCTCTTGCTGCTGGATGAAGTTCTTACAGAGGTCACAGGACTCGCTGGTTTGTTTAGGGATCTTCGAGCTGCTTGATTTACAGAGAATAGAAAAAAAATCATGCCTGGAAGTTGCTCTGAAGTTCACGCTGAGAGAAAGTTAATAGTTTTTTAATGATTTTGTTTGGGTTTTGGGGTTTTTTTTCCCCCTACCGGATTTTTGTTGCCAAGCTCTCTTTTATGGAATAATGCGTTACCTCAGAAAATCATTGCACTATAAAATCTGTAGTTCTGCACTGCTGAACATGTATGGGTAAGCTCCAGTCCCTGTTCAACCCCACTGTAAACTGATTGCTTTCTTTTGGCTTTGCTATGCAACCTTGTACTGTCTTCATACTTAGTTTTGTATCCTAAAACAAAGTAATTTATGTAATTTCCAGTATATCCAGTGCTCATTCTGGTTTTAAAGCTGTATAACGAGCCAGCTGGCTATTGCTCATGAATTAAGTTCCTCTCAGTAAATTGCATGAATTTCTACCCAGCTTTAATAACCTGGCAGTTTTGTTCATCTGCATTGGCTTTATTCTAACTTTTGTTTATAAACATTAAAATTATTTTGAGGAAAAGCTGTTTGTCAGAAACTTAGTGGAGAAGTGTAAAAGGCTTATTTGGTGACGTATTACAGTAACTTTTGCTATGGAAGTGTCACAGAGCTGTTTAGTCACTTCAGAAATGGCTTAAATTGTTCCACTTGCAACAGCGTATGAATCATAGCTAGACAAGTAACACATACTAATTAAAATCCTTCTCTTTCTGCACATTTGTAAAATGTTTTTTATGCCTAAGCAGTGGGTGATTCAGCTAATGAAGTAGGCAAACGCAGTGTATTTTTGAGCCCTTGGGTACCTTCAGGGCAAGATACCGTGTTTACAGTCATGCCGTGCTGACCAGGCACTAAGCCAGTCGGTATAACGCTCTGTTGTGCTGGTGCCCGTGTCTTTCTGCTCTGGGCAGGCGGTGTTGCTTTGACCTGGGTACACAGAAGGAAAAGTCTGCTTGTTCTGCATTGGCGTGGTCTCCAGCAGCTGGAGTGAGCTCTCAGGGAATTGTATCCCCATGCATAGTACATCACCCGCTCAATGCTCATAAGTTTTGTTGCTCCTGCCAGGTCTGCTCCACCCAGTTACAGAAGTGGCTGAAGTGTATGTGAAGAGTAAGAAATGCAGAGGTGAGGTGTCCCCTGTACAGATGTGACATAACCCAGCTGCAAAAGACGTATTGGAAAAAATTGAAGTGGTTCTTAGTCCTGTCTTGAGCCACAGTGCAGGTGCTTGTAAGGGAGCCAAGGGTCAAACTTGCTATAGTCCAAGAGAAGCAAAATGGCTTTAATTCCAGTTTGTCTGTAATAAACGTCTCTGAAAATTGGGTCTTTTATAGACAATGCAATAGGCGTGAGGTAGAGCCCTTCCACCTAGCACCAAACCATGAGATCTGCAGTCAACAACAGTGTGACTCAAATTAATATCCTTGTACAGTTGCCAGCTGCACTGATTGTGTCTACACACCAGCTCACTTGGAAAGTCTCTAACATGATGTCCTGTTATTGCGGTTCAGACATGAGCTTCATAAGCTGAGAGAGGAATAAAAACATGTCATCTGGGTGTTGAAACCTGAGTAAATTTTTCAGGCTTTATTGTCAGGCTTCTTGCTCTTAAGTTTCATTTCTCTTGAAGTGAAATTTGCATTCCTAAGCATGCATTTGGAAAAAAGAATAGATAAATTCGGATGCTGCATTGGGTTATGCTGGAATGAATGTTGATGAGTGCTTTTGACCCACTTGCGAAGTTCTATTGATTTGGGCTTCTTTGAATCAGAAAGACTGTTGTGGCTTGAGCTTGTGCTGTTTACGGCTATGGAGTTGCATTCAAATCTGTGACAGGCATTGTCTTTGAAGCATATGAGTAGTCAGAATAACACAGTGTGTATGAATAGGCAGACCTGTTTTGGGGGGGAGGGTAGTAGATTTGTAGAAAAGAGTCTGGTTAAATGTTATTAATTCTTCACAACTTGTGAAAATTTAGCCTATAGCTTGCTTGACTCAAAACCTACCTCAGGAGGTATGTAAGGCTCTAAGAAAGGAATCGATTAACCAAGATCTAGAATCCTTCATTGAATTTTCTATTTTAATGTAGCTCCTTTGGTAGTTAGGAAACCTTTATGATCAGAATATTATAGACACAGCAGCATGGAATGGATATTTCTGTACAATATGTTAAGCAAAGAAATAAAACGTGTTTTTCTATCTTTTGAAATTAAGCCAGTTTGCTTACTGTCTGTACTTTAACTTTGTTAACCTTTTAATTAGGTTTGAAGTTAATAAAGCCTACTGGTATCTCTAAAATGTATAAAAGCAGAGATTAAAACATAGTCAAAAGATCTTAATACTTTCAGTCAGACGGAGTTATTCTTTGAGGATAAAAACCAAACTTTATTCCTTGTTCTCAGAATTGCAGAGTTTGGGATGTGATGGTAAAATAGAGAGGAGGGACCCAGTTGGAATGTTTCTTGTGAGAGTAGCTGTTCCGTTGTGCTGTGAGTGCTGCTTACAGGAGTGCTGCAAGGAGTCAGCCCTGCTCCCTTGCTTCAAGCAGTGTTTTTATCAGTTGCGCAGTAGGTGGCTGATGGTTTGTTGATGAATAATTTTCACACGCAGAGCTTAGGATGCAACAGCTTGCCTCATGAAATTGTGGAAAAGTACGTGGTAGGGTTCAAGTGACCAGTACTGATACCTAGCTAGCACATACGTGGAGATTTTTCCATAAGCTGCAATGTGTGGACCATTCTGAACAGGAATATGTGCACGTGTTAAGTAGGGGGGGAAATGTTGAATTAACTGATTGAATTACTTGTGATGATTTTTGTTGTAATAGCGCAAAATGGAGATCAAGGGGGTAAACACCATAGCTGTAGAGATCATGGTAGAAAAATAACTGCTCACATCTGATTTCTCTCTGTATTTTGTTTTCTGAAATACCCTTTTCTTTTTCCTTTTTTTTGAAGGCCACTGAAAAGTGTTATGTTATCTGTGTGCATGTGTCAGCCTGGCAATGTAAATTTGATGGTGGCTACAATACATCTCCCTTCCTTCCTTCCTTCCTTCCTTCCTCCCTTCTCTCAGGGAGTGTTACCATAGCATTTCTCTCCCAGGGACTCTCTCGCAGAGCTGCAGATGGGATTCTCGCTATGAACTCTGTGCTGCTCAATCGGATACGCTTAGTACTGTAGAAGGAAAATGGGAAAGAAAGGGTGACTTAGCAACACGGATAAAGCTTTCCTGGTATTTCCAAGAAGCAAAAACCTGATTTGAAACAAAGGCTCGTTTTCATTAAATTGAGGATGGCATTTTTCTGTGAAGAGAAACAAATCCTGTTTCTCCCCCCCCCCACCTCAGTCTGTTTTCTCTTGTCCAGGGAGATTGATTTGGAATAGTGACTGCCTGATCGTGGGGCTTACGTTTCTTTTTTTTCCCTCTCTCCTTTAGCTGTGGACATGGCTTGAAGAGTTACAGAAAGAACTGCTCGATGATGTCTATGCTGAGTCTGTGGAGGCTGTCCAAGACCTGATTAAACGTTTTGGTCAACAACAACAGACCACTCTGCAGGTTACAGTCAATGTCATAAAAGAAGGTGAAGATCTTATACAGCAACTAAGGTAAAACATTTTTTTTACTTAAATCTCTTACAGTGTACATCTGATATTCTATGATGCCCTTTCTGTTTTGAGGGTAAAGATGATGACTACAAGATATGACCTATAAATAAAACTTGTAAATATTAGGATTACAATGATGTTTCATGCTCTACTGATGGTCTCTAACCCTCCGTTTACAGGAAGCTCTGCTTATAAAAACTACCTCCACAAGAAGGAAATTTTGTTTACATAAGCTACCTTTGTGATAGGAGCAATCGTATGTCTTTGTAGTCTGATATGCAGGGCTCCACAGCGTTTTGAGTTCTGAGCAGCAGTCTTTGTAAAAAGAGACACTTGAAATTGTTTTGCAGACTGATAAGCAACTTTACTGTAATAAAGACCATCATTTTGCAGTCCACTTCATTCAGTAACAATCCAAATAAATTTGGGCCCCAGCTGTACTGGTGCAAGTCTCCTTTGCTGCAGAAGCTGATATTATCATACCTGAATTTGCAGGTTTTATACTAAAGTAAAAGATTAAGAAATTTTTTTTACTGTTATCTAATTTTGATTTTTTTTCGTTGCCAGGAAGATTCAGTAAAGTAAAGAGTTATCATATGCCACTTCCTTTTCACAATATAAGGGATTGTCTCTGGTTTTAAATTTTATTCTTCCTGTAAACAGAATGTCTTTAAATGTTGAATTGGTTAAAAAAATGAAAATAATCTAATTTCCTAATGCTTTTTCTAGTACTAAAATATAATTTGGACTTTTATTAACAAAGATGTACAGACTTAGCTTTCATGTAATATGACTCACACTGACCTTATCTGAAACAGTTTTACATTTTTGGTCATGTATAGCATCCAGATTGTATGGTGATTTTTTTTTTAATAATAATGTTTTTCTTCTTCCCCTCTCTCTGCTTTGAATAGGGATTCTGCCATTTCTAGTAACAAGACCCCCCATAACAGTTCAATCAACCACATAGAGACAGTCCTGCAGCAGCTGGATGAGGCCCAGTCTCAGATGGAGGAGCTTTTTCAAGAACGCAAGATCAAGCTTGAGCTGTTTCTGCAGCTCCGCATATTTGAAAGAGATGCAATAGATGTGAGTGTCTGCTCTTGGAGTTGCACTGCACTTAGTTCTCTTGTGTGAGAACTTTTATGCTGAGATGTTTGTGTTGTTACATTGGCATGTGGCTCAAATGACTGATAGACTTAGCTCTTACCTGAACTAAGGCTTTTGTCTTGTACATGAAAGTGTCAGGGGAGTGGAGAGCTGAGCTTTTTGATATATATTCCAACACTGGCTCCCAGTGCCTCTTTAAGCAAGCATCTTGTAAAATCATAATGTACCAGTTGCTTCATTTGCTAAGTTTGGTTTGAAAATCAAGCTGCCTTGATATAATTTGTATGCTTAAAGTTAATATGAATAAGAACTGCAAGATGGTTTAGTACAAACCCTCTAAACTCTTGCTTTCTAGTAATACCCCTCTTCTTTTCCAATTCAGCAGTCTTTTTTCAGTTGATGGCTACAGGTGGTGTTTGGAACTCTATTTTAATCTTTGGGGATGTTGTATGGGCTGTCTTTTTTTTTTTTTATAAGATTCTTTTCCACCTCTGAAAATAATGTAAAAGCAGTTGTAGTGCCACACCCCTGCAAAACTTCAGGAAGTTTTGAGACTATCTAAATCTTGGAGGAGGGTTACAGCTTATCATTTGGAAAGTTTCTGTTTGTGTTCAGGGACATGCAGACAAACAGACATAAACTCCACATGAGAATTGGATTATATATAAAGCTTCAGCTAAGTTGATCATACGAATTCTGTAAAACGACTAGCACTGTACACAGTGCCTGCAACCAGGTTGGTGCCTCAGAAGGTTCGGGATTATCCATTGCTAATTTATTCTGTTCGAATATATAAATGGCTTATCTCCAGACTCTGGAAACCAGGAGTTACAGTGATAATTTTATCTCTTTGTATGTGGTAAAAGCTTCAACTGCTGGTTAGAAACAAATGGTGTAAGGGCAAAGAGGCAGTCAGCAGAAGTGATAGCTTCTCTTTTTTTTTTTTTTTTTTTCCTTCTCCTTAGAATCAGGATTAGATATCATTGCTGAAGTCTGGTTTAGCTAAGCACATTGTTTGGAGCAATGCAGGAATAGGCAGACACAGTTCCTTGATCTGTGCCCGTAGAGGAAGTGAGAGTATGCACTCTACAGTAATAACGACTCTAGTGTAAAGACTAGGAAGGTTCTCTATTTTGCAATTCACAGTGAGGAGGTGAAATTAGTCTGCAGGGAGTTTGGTACTTTGAATATGTGATGGTAGCTGTCTTGAGTATGCAAGGGAAAGGCTTGGCAGAATTGTTATTGTAATGATTAGCTGGATGACTGGTACACATAGAAGGTATCCCCTTTTATAGGATTGTCAGCAATTTTACAATCTCTGCAGAAGTGATCTATAGTACTTGATAGGATCTGTGTGATGTTCTCAGAACACTCGCATTGAGGAAGTGGCAGCTGTGGGGGCAAGGCATATACCAAGAAAATTAATGGAAGAATTAGGTTACAAGTTTGAGTGAAGTTCATGGTGAAGGTGATTGCTTTCTGCTACAGGTTACCTAAAGCAGTGTTCTACAATAGAAGGTGGCTGATTGCAGGAGCCCTGTTTTGCAGATGTGTTGTAGTCCTTCAGTACAGGATATCATCTGTATAGATACTAGTACTTCTGTGTATGCTGTTTGGTGATGACCATAGGATTTTGCAGTGGAAAGCAAAGTGGAACTTGACAGGTCTTGCTTTCTCTGAAGCTGGCACTTGGCATGCTTTACATTTTGGCACATAAAACATAAAGCAAAGTACCAATTACCTTGTTGAAAGAGTCGGTGTATTGTGTTTATATGGCTTGGAAACAAAAATCATGCTTATTGAAGATTGCCAAGAAGCCCTCCAGGGAACAAAATGACCCTGGCTGCAAAGCATCTTCAGCAAAATGTTGATTGCTTTGCTGTCTCTGTACCATGTCCTCTCTCTGCTTCCTCAGCAAAGCATGCTTCTCTTCCGTCTCCCTGAAGGCAGACATCTGTTTGAAAACTTCCGGGAAGAAAATACAGGGACTAGTTCCAGGTCAGTTGTTTGAAAGCAGAAGCTCAGCTGAAGTAACATGATAGTGAGGAGGAGCCAGATGCCAGCTAGGAACTTGTGGACCTTCTTTTGACCTCCTCCTTTGTCCCGGATTTTGTGTGACTGGCCCAATCAGTTAAGACTTGGCTGCAGGAGCAGTTCATTCAGGGGAGCATCCTGTGAGGACAGTTTTTCTGGAAGGCGAGTAGTGTTTCAAACTTGTCTTAACTGCTTGCAGAATAACAGAGGCTAAAATGGGACAAAGGGTTCCCCTAGCACTTGCAGGATCATACTGTGCAGCTGTGCTTCTGGGGACAGTGGTGAGATGTGCTGGCAAGGGATAGTCCTCGTTTTCTTGTCCTTGCTCTCCCCTGGTTATTTGTTGACAAAATACACTTTTTCTTTTAGTTGCTGTCTTTTATCTTGCAACTTTTCAGATTCTCCTGCTTTTCTGAAATTGCTGTAACTGCAGCACCGTCCCTGTTTTGCCCCTTGCTCTTGGCATAAAAATCGACCTTCTCTATCCCCAGCAGGCTTTTAAGTGCTATTGGTCGTGAGCTATTTGAAGGATTCTGTTGTGAACACCTGTATTAGCTAAAGGCAAGAAAGAGCAAAACAATGTATGCTAAGAGTCCCTTGCTAGGGTGATTAGTAGCATAAGGAAGACGTGTATGGCCCTAGCTAGTGGGAAGGTAACACTGGTGGCAATGTATGCAGCCTAAAATGTGTGTGGCTCATCTGTGTCTGTGCATTTTTGCTTGTCTGTAACTTAAATGCCTCGAAGCCTATGTCAGGGCTCCACACAAAGCATACCACACGCTTTTCAACTCACAGCTTTATCTTGACTCTATTTTTGGACCATACTTACAAGATGCCTGTTAAGTCATACAGCTGAAAAGGCAAGGATGCAAAGTGCTGGATCACAGAGACCTAACTTTTCTCCCTTTCCCATTTTTCCTTTTTTTTCTCCCCAGCAAATAAGATTTTCCAGGTCCTGGTTAGCACTCAGTTGGTACAAGGAATGCTAGTTAGACCCTTCTGAGAAGAGACCTGTGGTTCTTTATTTCTTTCCCAATCAGTGCGAAAGAGTCAGCATCCCCTCTGTGTTATACTCTGCCTTGTTTCCTGTCAGTGTTACCTTTGCATTTGTTAAAACTTAGGAATGTCAGGCAGCTCAGACTCCGCACTAGGAACTTCTTGAGCACATGCTATGGTAAGTAGTTACCCTGTGTTTATGCTGGGTTGTCTGTTTCCTGAGAGCGGTATTAACTTGTGATTCAGTTACTTTAGATGTCTATTAGTCATTCATCTTTGATCTGTTTGTTTAATGCTAATTGTTTTGACAAAACTTTACAAACAAAATAGGAGCCTGCTCGCTCTAAAAGTGTTGCTTGTAAAACAGAACTTTAGGAGAGGTATTGAAGAGTCTGGGCAGAGGGGGCTTAACACACATTATTTTTGTTTTCGCTCTGCCCTCAATGCATTTTTAGATTTGTATGGTGGGTGCAATTGCTGAAATAGATCACCTTGTGCCACCTCATTAGTGCTGAAAAAAAATGTAAGGATTACTGCCCTTGCCCTTGTTAGGAACCTCGACTGTGATGTTCACTGACTTTCTTATCTTTTGAATGAGTGTGGGACTGTGCTGTCATTATTTATTTGAACCGTGGGCTTCCTGGTCTTTTGAAGGAGACAGGGAATGTCTTGCTTTTGTACAGAGTGTTTCAGACTGTTTTAAACATGTGTGGGCCATGAGCTTAACCTTGGGGTTGCATGAAATAGTATGGGAAGAAGTTAGAATTCTTACTGTTGTTCATTGTTGTTGTTTGGCGGCAGTATCACTGGAACCTCTTGGCTGAGGTGACACGCAGTGTTGTCCTCTTAAAACTACTTGTAGTTCATATCGGGTACAGTGAATCTCAGGATAGTCAAGAGGACATAGTGACTACAATCTACTTAAAACATTCCATTATTATAAAAATACTGACACTTAGCCACAGCAATGTCCTATTGTGAGCTTATTGTGTTTCTTACTTGATTTCAACTGGCTTTGCTAGTAAGAGAGGTCAGGTTTTGGCATCTGTTCTGAAGGGAGATGGATTGGCTTTGCTTTTAAAACAGTGGCATAAATGTGCCATGTTAAATCTGAATCCACTTTTTAATGGGTTTTAGAAAGACAATGAAAGATGGTATTTTGATGGTGGAGTTTCACAACCTTCTTTAATGCTCAGATTTCTCAGTTTGACCAAGTCTAACTACCGTTACTTCTTGAGGATAACTTATGAATGTTGTTAACTGAGCTGGATGAAAATAAGATGGTAAGTCTGATTTGTGAGAAATTCCATAGTGCAGTGGATGATTTGAAGAAATAAATGTTAGGTGACCTCCACTACTTTTAGTAATAAATAAACACTGTTTTGAAGACAAGCTGGGAATAGCAGATCTGAGGTGAGTAAGAGCGGAAAAGTAAGTGGTTTCTCATGCTGGACTGTCAGGAAGACTTGGACGTTTCTGAAATATTTCAGGTCAGTTAAAAGGAGGTGAAGAGCAGAGAGAGGTAATGAGACATGGTTGGCATGGACCAAGTGAAAGAGAAATAAAAGGAAGTTATGAAGGATTTTGTGGGAGGGGAAATCTGTGTGTGCATTTAGACAGGAAATCACTCATAATGCGTAAATTGTGCGTGTGTGATGTTTAGAGCACATGGAAGAGAGATGAAAGACGCTTTAAGCAGTGGCTAAAAACCTTGTCCTGTATATCTTCCTGCATCCCTTGTCCATCAGATTTTCTGTTTGCAGTGTTATCCCTGAAATATGAGTTTCTCCCTGTTTTCACTTTGGTACAGCTAACCAGCTAACAGCTATCAGGAGTAGGGTTTGCAAAAATAGCCACCCTAGTTGTTTGGTATCTCCCATCATGGCATGGTGCAAAACTGGAATGCTTAGTGAATCAAGTAATAATTTTTGCGGAACGCCTTTAAAACAGGAAGTAACTCACTGATGCCACAATTGTAATAATAATTGCTTGATGTGTCCATTTTTTATGGTGCCACGTGAGCAGAATGGAAACAAGCCTTCAAGAAGGATTGTAGCTGACTACAGAAACTTTATACAGATAATTTAACTTTGCTTTCTCCTCACTTCTGTTTTTTCTAGAGGGCTTGTTTTCCTGGAATTTCTCTTGTAGTTTAACTGTCTCAGTAACTTCACAGCTCTGATTAACCACTTGGAAAGCATAGCAGCATGTTCCTTTTGCTGGCAACAGATGACTTTGGTTAAATATTTATGCAGTCAGCTACTTTGTTGCTAATGCCCCTTTGGTCAGATCCTCTTTTTGCTGTGTCTTGCTGCATAAATAGGTGTTTTCCTGTCGCTTTGCACCATTCTGGAGTTTGTTCTACTCCTGAAATTGTAGAACCCTGGAGCTAAGCCATACTTGGTTCTTGATATCTATAATTTTGCTTTCCCAATGAACTGCAGTAGTTTGTGGCAAAACTGTTGCAAGTTCTGAGAAAAAATTGGTTACAGGCTTGAGGAATAAGTATGTCAGCCTTGTTTGAAATACCTGATGTGTCAAACCTGTGTCATAAGAACTCAACCCACTTTGATCAATAAGCATTGTAAGCATTATCTGGTAGACTTAAAACCAATTTTGTATCCTAATTAAAAAGAATATTTTACATTTCAGCCAGGTTTTGCAATATGATTTGGAAAACCCACTTGTGTGGACAGCCAATGAGCACTTATTGTTGTGATACACATGTTAAAAAACAAAAAAACAAAAAAAAACCAACTTCCTTAGCTACCCTTTGGACATCCTATGACTGAGAGTAAAATCCAGAACTGAAGTGTAGCTGAATTATTTCAGCAAGCAAATTTAGCTCTGATGTTACAGTAATACTGTAGTAAAGTAACACTTTTTGGTTTTGCTCCATTCATTAAGTACTCTGCCTTTTGTGAGAAGTAGTGCTGCTCAGTTGTCTGGCAGAAGTCAAAGGTGCTCACAGAGCCTGACAGTTCCTGCTCACAGAAGGGCAGAGCTGGCTTTTTTGTAAAAGAGCTCAAGACTGGCATAATTGAAAGCTCAGCTGGCTCTTGATGTGTGAATTATTACTTGGTGCAAACTGAAAAGATATTTTAGATCAACGTTTTCCTTTAGAAGTGGGGATAACAACATTTTAACTTTATCTGTTTCACAAGTGATGTATTGATGGAGTACCTTAAACAAGGCAAGGGTACCCATAGTATTGCAAGCACTGGTTGAAGGAGAACTGTAGTAGTTCTCAAAGAGATTCTTCCAGATTGTTTGCCAAAATTTAAAATGCATGCTGAAACAGCCTGTGTCTGAACCATGTCCAGCCTTATCAGTGAAGTCAATTAACAATGAGCAACTCAAGTTCCTGACCTCCATCATAAGCGCACCATTGGAAATAAATGCGTGTTGTGTAATGGGTAATTGAACATTGTCTTCCTCCTTTTTCCCCCAGATAATTTCAGACCTCGAGTCTTGGAATGATGAGCTCTCTCAGCAGATGAATGACTTTGACACTGAAGATCTTACAATAGCAGAACAGAGGCTCCAGCATCATGCAGACAAAGCCCTGACCATGAATAACTTGACCTTTGATGTCATCCACCAAGGGCAGGATCTGCTGCAGTATGTCAATGAAGTGCAGGCATCTGGTAAGATGGCTCCTTCATGCTATTCTGGGCAGTGCCTTTATAAGAATTACCCAGTTGTCTCTCCATGGGATATGTGAAAACTGGAGACGTGGACTTTTTTTTTTTACCCTTTATACTCAAATCATTTGATAGCATTCATGAGAATGGTTTTTATGGCATGTAATTTTTGTCTAGGAGTTGGCAACACTTGAAGATGTTTAAGTTTTGAAGAAAGAGATTCCTCTCAGGATGTCAGTAAATTAGAGTAAATAGCAGGGAGTTAATTTTATAGTTAATCGGAGCAATGCAGTCAAGCCAAAATTTTCAGCTTTCAAGTAGTAAGTCTTCCTTTTTTGTTTCTTATACCCGTTCACTGTTTACAGTCACCTAGGGTAAATCTCAAGTGTCTTTAAAAAAAAAAAGTAAATTAATATTGCATTTTTAAAGAGTGCAAAACCCCTTGCTCATTTAAGCAAATGCTCCAAGGATTAAGTTGAACTTTGAGAAGGAACTCTAAGTGTAAAACCGTGGAAACAGTCTGTTTGTCTTTGGAAGACTTGTAAGTCAATTATAAACAACTGGTTGATTACAGGTGTTGAGCTGCTTTGTGACAGAGACGTAGACATGGCAACTCGTGTCCAGGATCTGCTGGAATTCCTCCACGAGAAGCAGCAGGAGCTGGACGTGGCCGCCGAGCAGCACCGCAAGCACTTGGAGCAATGCGTGCAGCTGCGTCACCTGCAGGCCGAAGTCAAACAGGTACATGTGGGCTATGCCCCTGCTGGGGCATCACCCCCCACAGCTATTGCACACCTCTTGGGAAAACTCCCTTCCCATAAACAGCCGTGGAGAATTAATTTCTGCTGTATAAAGCCTTGCATTTGCAGGGGGCAGGGACTTAGAATTGAGCACTGAGGAAACTTCATCCTCTGTTAATATTGTGGTTGCTAATTTGTGTTAACAGTCCGTATTTCTACCTGGTTACAAGTCAAGTATTTGAAATGTAGAGCAATTTGAACTTGTGTTAAATAATCCATGCTTTAATCGTCTGCATGGTGGTTCATAAAAATGTTCAGTGATATTCCCTGAACACTGACCCAATACATCTACAAAAGGTGATAACATAATATCAGCAGTTTACTTGTTGGGAGAAGAAAAATGAAGTTTTGCTTTTCCTGGCACTGAAGTGGCAAATTTTGAAGTCCTTATCTGATAGTCACCTAAACTTTTGGGGACGTCGAGATGCTGTGGGCAAAACCACTGAAGCAGGTAAAAGTTTAAAAAGCAAACGAACAAAACGCTAGAAAGGTAAGAGTTTTTGATTCTGCTCACACAGAAGTCTACTAGAGTCTGTATTAGTATGTCTCATGATGGCTCACAGTGCAACTTCTCCTTTTTCTGTTTGTTGTGAGCTCTTAGAAAAACTCATCTTCCTCATGAGATGACGAATGAGAAGTCCTAAGTTGCAAATATAAAAGGGGTCCAGTTAGCATAGGAGAGGTGAATAGAAGGATCCCAAAGTATTTCCAGGCAGTGGTTCATTACTCTGTTGCAGCAGACCAAGGTTTCTGTGTGGCCTTGAATTCAAGGAACACAAAGAACTGGTAGTGTCTGCTTTCAGCGCAATCTAGATATTAATCAAATATATGATCTACTAGTTCAAGCTTTTGCATACTTTACTGAACTATCCTTGTATCTGTCTTAGCACTTGTTCATGTTTGTAAATGCAAATTACAAATTACTCCTTTCACATGACTAATAGTTAAGATAAAGTCGTTACAGATCAGGATAGATTCTGTACTCTGTTGTATTCTATCT